GTCTGCGTTTTTCTTAGTGGCCACTAAAACTGTACCAGTGATGACGATCATTTCCTTATACTAGCGGTCGACATCATCTAGTGATCACTACGAGCTGTACTGGTGACCAATGTTTACCTATGATGGTAACCAGTATCATGGAGTGGCCAAATGCAACTCTCATTTATTAAGGCTGCCTGTTCAAGCTTTAGTCATACATGTATAAGGATTGTTTCCTCACATCAGGGCGTTCGGTCTGATTTGGCCACTGTGCGTGGTTTGCGTGAATTTGGGTTTTGTCTCATCACTTGTTCGGACAGTGCGAATTTCGTTTTTCAGTGGATGCGCTCCCTGCCCTCAGTCAGGCAGAACTTTAACATGTTCTTTGGAGAATGCCCGTACTGTTCCGAGGTAAGATGCGATGTCACGTAAAATCACTCCTTTGTAATGTAAACCTTTGTCTGATCTCACTTGCAGCCCATGTCGTGCAAGATGTGAAGACCCAGTGAATAAATTATTTTTGATGAGTGCTCAATAAAGTTCTTTGCACAATTAGGCTCTTTGCAGTGTATAAGCGACCGTTGTTCTTTGTGCTTGATGTCTTTTTGTGTTCTTCAACATATCCTGAATGTTAAGGCATGCTTCACATATTAGTTAAAATAATCGTTAAATAAAATTAAGCATATCAAAAACGTGGAGAAAAATAAAGTTATGAGTGCATACTTTTAAAACTTTCTTCGGACATTATTGTTTTAAACATTATTTTGCTTTAAGCAAAAAGAAAACATTTCAGTAGTCAGCGGACATTAACATCGTCTTTTACATGCAATTGACTTGGGAGAATCGGTCTTGTGTATGCCAGATGAAAAGTTGTCGATGCCTGAAGTATATTTACATAGCTCCTGAAGTAACACATTTATTCGGTGGCGATACAAATAACTCAATTCTATTAAGATGACCCCACTCCTCAAACAGCTTGCATTAATGTTCCCAATGCACACTCTCCATTTTTGGCTGTCCTACAACACGCAACAGTCTATGTAGTGGGTGCTAAAGGTTGCTTCACAGAATTAAAGGAGCCAAGTTAAGTTGAGCTTCAGTAGCAAATAACCTGCACGCAATTACCATGAGTGTCAATTACCACAAGAGGATTGGTTGGCATGAAAAAACATAGAACATCAAACGGCAACAATGCCAGGTTGAGATTCCCACACCAACTCACCATAATGTCATATATTTTTTCATCATATTGACAACAGTTTAACCCATAAACATTGACTACATCGTAAAGTCAGACCTAGTTAAAACAAAACCACATCTGACAGAACAGCTTTTTTCTGTGGACTCTAATTGTTCAAACAATGCACTGTAATATCCAATAACTCAACATATTGAGGTTTGGTATATCTTGAGAAAAACAAAAAAATTCCCCCCTGACAGAAAAGCTCTAACACACACACACATACACACACAAAACTACTTCAAAGTTGGAACTGTGACCTAAATTTTCTACTTAAATTAACAATTACTGTGCAGTTTTCAGTAAAGTTTTCAGAGGCTGATTTATCAAACACATGCTGAACTGTTCCTTTATCGTGTATCTACTGTGGCAAACACAGACACAAAGATACCAGTTCCATAAATACAGACACGTTTATTTTACGCACATCACAAGCACAACTGTACAACTCTTTGGAGAGAAAAAAGAGAGAAGGGAACAAACGAAAATGAACCAACACCAAGAAGTTTACACAGCAACACAATCACCTGTACACCGTGAGCAATGCCCTGTACACCATCCCTTGATTTAAGAAGAAGCTCTACGCCGGTGCCATCAGACGCTTTATTGAACAATATGACAAATTTTATTACAGAATTGACACCCTTAACATAGAATCTGTTTCTTTCAGACACCAGAATACCATCTTCACAACTTTTAATGCGAATCGGTCAATCAAATTTTGTACAGCGGGTGCCATGCAACACAATTTTTTAATTGCCATTATATTTACATAACGTCCCGACGTGAAGCTTCATCTTAAATGACTCAAGAAACGAGGGTAACACAAAGCAATGACTACATTTTGTTCATGTTAATGTTTCGAAGGACTTGCATAAAAAAGTGCACATAACTAACAAGCTATACAGCAATCTACTAAAAAGACCGGAAGCTAAGAAGCAGTGCCATCAAAATGCAAAACGCACCTTGTCAAGTTCAGGCAAACAGCACGTACAACTTTGTCGTCTTGAACATCAGCGCATTCATCGAAACTCCTGCAAGTGTTCAGGCAACCACAAACGTTTACACACGACTCCCACAACAAATGCAACTTTGTGCTCTGTGAAAGCACAACAGAAAGCACTGCATTTTGCTCCATGAAACTACTTCAGACTGGAACGTTGAATGTGATGCTGTGCGCCCAGGATTTGCCAGAAATAATCTAGTACACTGCAATCCCTGTGTCCTGCAAACTTTGTGGCAGACTACATATGCCTAGCTTTTGTATAAGCAGATACATTCAGCTTGTGTCAGTGTTGGTAACATTTTTCTCTGAGCCAAGTTGCCAAGTTGTAGCAAAAAGTTGCTGTGTTGACAATTTGCTCAAAATTTTATATCTTCTGAAAATTTTTTTTTTGTTCATCCTGGATGTACATTACTAAAACAGATACTACAGTTCAAAATTGTCTTCCATGATGACAAGTTGACAATAGGAATGTAAAAGGAAGACGAAGACAAGCTCTATTTGCTAAAGCTATTCACAATCTAGGGAATATTATCTTTCTAGACCAGATTCGGTGAACTCTCATGACTCAATAACACGCTCTCTAAAGGCAGCCAACAAAGTTGACGACAAATACTCCCTAATGGCATAAAATTGGGGTGACATACATAGAAATGTGCTGAAACTCCTAAAATGAAGAATTCGAGATTAAGATGACATGAAACTCGCTAGACTTGGCATGTTTCTCGGTAAATGACCAACACTGACTTGCGTATTTCAACGGAAGCCTTGCAGAACTAAGCAACACGTTACACAGCAAGGAGCACGTCTGGCATTGCTGATTTCTTTGTACACAGCGCAGTAACATCAGTTATCTCTGGGCCCATCACTACTAATACCAACGTTCCACTATATCTGGCTCAATAACGTGAGTGCCTAGTATTTCATCATCAACGGCAGCGCTTCTCATTGCATTCCTGGCACAACTCGCAACCTTGGGTGCCGAGGCACGCAGCAACAGCACACTCCTACAAAACAGCAAAAGACCTGACAGCACACCGAGCTCAGATCATCACAATTTGATTGGAATGCAACGAGGTAACATCGTATTGCTTTATTACAATGCGGCTGCCACGTTTACCTGGTCATTCTACACGTTAAAAAAATAAACGCTCTGTCGAGCAAATTTGAGTTGGCTGACACACACCGTCTCCGTATTGCATTGCCACCTCTTGCCAAACGTAATGCTAGCTGCCTCTTTTCAGTCAATCACTCGAGAAGCAAGACTCCATAGACTTAAAAAAAAAGATATTGCAACATATATGGACACAGAGAAAGTGACGAGATGCAAAATGAAAGTAATATACAAATTAATTACTATACAGCTAATGACACTTGTAGGCAGATCAAACAAAGTAGGTACGTCTGTGGAAATCGGACAGCAGGAACACTGAGATCTGCAGCTTTCAAGCTTGAACTAATGAAAAATGCTGTTACAAAAAGAAGAGGATTTCTGTAAGTTCAGGCAAGTCAGATGTCGATGATAAAGAGTATCATCAGTCCACAGTACTCACGGGATAAAACGTGACATCAAAAGTTCAAGAACAACAACTGGTGTGTGCGATTATGCCAGACGACCACGTCATGTAGCTACAAGTATGGCCACTGAAAGGCGACGTTGGCTGCGACTTAAGTGTATGAGCCCATGTCGCATCAATGCGGCATGAACGTAAGACAGCAAAAACAAGGGTATGCACACTATGTGGCCCCGAATCGACGCGTTTCATTTCGTGAGCACTGTCCCAACTGTGAAAGCGAACAGAGCTATACACAAAAATGAACACTGAATTGTGAGCAAAGCACGCTGCTTAGCGCACTGCACGTGCAGTGCCAAGATCACCATTTTGTGAAGTGCAACACGTCAGTTCAGTAACTATCCGCAATCACTGAATTATTTAGTATTGGAAAAGAAAAAAAAACATGAAGTAGCGAAGATTTGTCTAACATCACCCAGCTCTTGATGCGAGAAACAAACCTGAAAGGGAGAAAAATTACGAGTGTGCTCTAATCAAAAAAGACAGCTTTCTTTTAAAAGGCCAGTAAACAACTTCGAGGTCCAAAAATTTTAATGGAGAAATATGGGCACTTTCTCTTTGTGAACATGCTGTCGCAATGAATATTGCGAATAGTAATAAGGAAGTTACAGGGGTTAAAATCACTGTTTCAGCCGATTTCAAATTTTTGCACGGCCGTTCACCACCCTTCTCCACCATAGAGAGGAGGAGGAGTAGTTCATCATTGTGACTCCGCCCACACTACGTCCGTGATACGTCATTGGTGAGTGACCAACAACTGAGCAAGACAGACTCCTCCCCCCCCCCCCTCAGCACATATCACAGCAGCGCGGGCAGAAAATGAGGAGCACTTTTTCCCTGACAGTAAAGTAATGAGACGCCTCTTTGTCTTGGAGACTTTTGTTCTGGCTATACCACTTCCTCCGGAGTGTCGGACTCTACAAAACGGCAGAGGGCAGCAGGAAAATGAAATATGCGGACTGTGAGGCTGAAACTGCATCGCCGCAGGGCCAAGGCGCCGTTTCATAGGGCAAGAAACGAATCGATGAGCTGAGTGGTATGCAACTTTGCCCAAGGGAAAGCTTTCGTCAGACTGTGCATACGAGGGAAACAGGTGCGGGACTGCTTTTCGAAATGGTAGAAATGAGGGTCTGTGCAGCGGGCAGTACTGTCATATTTGACAAATGCGATCGCCGCAGTATGCTGTATGAATTAGCGAGCTTGCTTGGGGGGTGTAAAATAAAGTCAGAGCCTGTTTACTGGTCCTTAAAGAAACAGACGAATAATGTCACAACTGTGAGTAACTTACGCATTTGTCACGGTCTCAGCGACCGCCATGAAGTCACTTCTTACTCACTCCCCTTTTCAACTCTTCACCTTAAAAAGGCCAACTGTCTGCCCTGCGCTGAAATCATTCATAAAAGACTATTAGCTTGCAAGCCCATTTTCGATTCACTGTGAGCCACATGTGAGCCTTTAGACAAAGGAGGTTTCTATGTAGGTCACCATGTGGAATGACTTTGCCACTGTAAAAAGCTTCTCAATGCCACATTTTTCTCTATGCTTCTACAAAACGGGCAATCTGTACCGGTACCCTATTTGAAGAAGTTTGGTATGCAGCCATAAATGCAGAAACTTCATGAAACAATCCACAAAGGAAAAAAATAATGTTGAAGTCCGAAAGCACCTTGTCTAGGCTGGTAAGTAAAAAAAAAAGTTTATGCAAAACTGCTCAGAATTCTCAGCACCTGTGCGAAGCCAGCTAACTGCAACTGCTTGGTAATAGGCTAATATTCTAGTTCGGCTCGTCGCACATTTCCAGGTAGCTTGTAATTATCGACATAGATCAAGATATTTATCATAGCATTATGAATATACACTCGAACCTCAATATAATGAACACGGATATAATGAAAGTACTGGTTATAACAAAGTAAATGAACAATAGTCTTAGAATATCATTATAGATAACCTCAATAACGAATTTTGGGATACAACAAACTCATTTGCTTGTAAGGTGGAACTTTGTTATAATGAGGTTTGAGTGTATAATGACAAAACACTGGCATCCTCTGTGCTGCTTTGTTCACACAGGTGCTTCACTATATAATAACTCAGTTTCCAACGTAGAAACAAGAAAGACTGATTGACACTGACACTGATTGAGAAAATACTGGGACCACAGTGCAGGTGGCAAAAGTTTGGGGTGCGAGTTAAGGTGGGAGCACGAGCTTGTTTTTGGTGAGCGGGGATATCTTCACAACACGCAAGCACACTATTTTTTTTTTGTTCGCATAATATTTACACGGTGTTGAAGATGAATAACTGATTGTTCGCTTGTTTCTTTGTGGTCAGAGAGTTGATAACAAGTAACAAACGCATTGCCAGCGCAGCGCAGAGTGTGCCCAAGCAGGCTCAGTGTTGTAATCTGAGGACTTCCACTACAAGCAAGTTCAAGATTTCACATAAGTTCAATCTCCGTTTATCTAAATGTGAAGTACTTAAAACATTTTTAATTTTTGAAAAGGCTTACACTGGTTTTACCTGGCCACGTTGGTACCGCGATCAAGCCTGATCTTGATAGAAGTTTTTGGTTGTGACTGCCTGCACAGGCTTCAGAAAGGGGGTAATTACTGCAGTGAAATCTGATCCCGATTTAGTTTAATCGTGATCAGCTGTGCACCGTGTGACACTGGTATGTATCAGACTGATTCACAGGTAATGATTAAGCAAGCTCTTTTCTTCACTGGCAGCATTGTAAATCTGGTTGTATAACTGCGCAACTGTGGCTGTAATCCTGGAGTCAAACTCAATTTCAATAGTTACAGAACTTTCTCATGACTGCAATCGGTAAAGCCTTGATCAGAACCGCTCTTGTTCTGGTACTCGCTGCATAAAGCCTGTGCTACTTCTCTCATGCTACTTCTCTACGAAGTATGTTGTGTATTGTGTGCTCCCGCTGATTTATCTGCAGTTCTGGACCTGGTTCAGGAAAAAGAATGGGGTTAGTGATTCGTTTTGCCAGCACAAGGTGGCAAGACCTGCACCTCGTTATTCATTTTGAGTGGTGCAGGCTTTGTACAAAATGACTCCACGTCCTCAAAACCAGTCCAGCATGACACAACATCACGCAAAGTAAAGGCTCCCCAGCTATGCAGAAGGCATTAAGTCAAAACAGCAGCAGCACTAGTCAGAAACAGACAGTCCAGAAAAGTTGTCCCTTTCCAATTCAGCAGGCACACTCACGTCTGCACCGTTCGAGCAGAAATGGATAGAAATTTGAGCAGAAATGGATAGAAATTTGCTTTCTGTTTTGTCGAAGGAGAAGTCTGCGCCAGATGCACTGCCACCCGCTCTATTTGTATAGAGAGGGACAGTTTTTGTTTTAGCAGACGACCCGTCTGGCTTGACACAAATGGAGCAGATTACAATGCGTCTGCACAGATGGCATGGACTTCTGCCTAAATAGAGCAGATGGTGTCTGCTCTGTAGAAGATAATCTATCCATTACTGCACAGACAGAAGAGACAGTAGTCCTCCTTATACCATATGTTCAGGGAGAGACAATTTCTGCACAGATAGTTTGACCATTCGTGCTGTCTGCTCTATCTTTGCAGAAAGGTGCAGGTCATCTGCTTCAGCCTTAGCAGATGCATTGCCGCTAGGTTTGTCTGTGCAGAAGCAGACGACTCCTCCAGGTCCGTATGTTTCTCACCAGACAGATTTCCTGTGCACTTAAACAGCCAGTGTGCATGTGTGGACCTGAAGCAAGTACCCTAGCATCATTGATGATGGGGCCAGCAACAACGGCAGAGGCAGCACCGACTGGTCACATGATCATCGTACTACTAAGCAGCGTGCGGCGAGTGTCAAGCGAATGAGAAATGTGTAACCCTAATGGAACCTATATTGCCGTGCTGGTTTTAGAGTCACGTAGGTCCGCTTCATGTCGTCGCTCTCCTCCCGCTTGACTTCCGAATACTTCTCACCCTTGACGCTGACGATCTTGTTGTCCCGATAGCGGATGAGCTTCTTTGGTTCCTGCGATCAGCGATAGAGCACCATGCATCTGGTACGTGAAATTCTCGGGTGCATTGTACTGTGCATCATAATCAGTCTGTATCATAAATTGAATAGTGCAGAGGCACATGCGGCGGCTGCATTTTCGATGGCGTCGAAAATGCTTGAGGCTCGTGTGCTTAGATTTAGGTGCACATTAAAGAACACCAGGTGGTCGAAATTTCTGAAGCCCTCCACTACGCAGTCTCTCAGAATCATATGTGGTTTTGGGATGCTAAACCCCAATAATTATCGTTATATTGCCATCTAGCAATCAGTACAACGAATGGCCACCTAAACATTAAGCCAAGCTTCTCACATTGTACTCTTGTGCAGTGACATCAGGCTTTCAAATCAACAAATCAATAAGCTCTTTGTCTATTTCATAAACAGACAAAAGAGCGGCAAATAAAAGCTGTCTTCCGATAGCTTGACGAGCCCGCCGCCCCCATTACAAGGGCTCACGGCAGCACAGCGACAGTTACATTTAGTATATACAAATTAAAAAAAAAAAAGCTACATCATGGTAAAAAACGATATAGAAACATGGAATTCGATTAAGAGAAGAGCAACAAGCGAAAAAAGGAATGAACAGATACATATTCGTAACCTCAAGCGCTAAGAAATTTTAAGCATAACATGCTTCATACACAGCAAAACGGGTCAGAATTTAAGTTAGCTCTCGTGTCAACTGATCACTATAAAAAATAATATAAAAAATTGTGGCCTCATGCATATGCGGTGCTTGCAGTACAGTCGTGACTATGCCAACTTTAGGAGGATAACATGACAGGAGCAACAATGCCGATGGCACACACTCAGAGACCAAGCAAGGGTTTCTCTAAGTGTCCCTCATCTCAGAGTGGTGAAACAGCATGACGAAAAAGAGCGGCAAATTCGAAGCCAAAAGCGCATCACAGTAGAGCCAAGGTGCCATTTCATAGAGCAGAGAAGCAATGAACACAGCCAGTGCTTCATAAAGTTGCCCACCATCCATTTCTCATCTGTGAAGCGACGTGATGATAAAGTCACTTCGTGCTTGAGGAGGTCTGGATAGGCGATGAAGAGGGACATGGGAATGTTTTTCAAAGTGAAGCGTTTGTGCGGTGTGCAGAGCTGTGACATTCATCAAACGCAATCCCCATGGCTTTCTGCGGGAATCGGCAAGCTTGTTTACGAGATGAAAAGAAAAGTCAGAGCCTGCCTGTTTCCTAGCCTTTTAAAACTGGCATTTTTCATGAAAGTGGCCCAACGGCTTTCAAAAGTAAAACCGACTATTGGTTTCTAGGTTACTTGTTTTGCTTTATATTTCTCTTGAGTTAAACCATTCAGCGAAACGACCATTAACTAAATAATCTTAATTGGCACAAAAAACCACGAGGCATCACTTACAGTCTTTGGCGCAACAGGCCTATGTTCCTTTTCATCTTCGTCTTGATCGATGTAGCCATATCTATAAAAATAAAACACAAAAGAACAAAACTGGAATAAAAACATCTGACATTATTGCATAAGCACTAAAAAAAAGGGTGTACTAAACAGCTCCACATGTCAATAAGAAGTTTCAGCTCAGGAGTTTTTATCTACCGTATAACCTGCGCAATTTTTTTCGTTATTGTGGGGCTTCGAAAAGGGGGTGCGCAAATTACGCAGAGATTTCGCGAACGCATACGAAATATTGTGCAATAGTCCTAATGCTAAATTGGAGCGCGAATGAAGTGTACTTATTTCCTTAACAGAATTAGCAAGTACTTTAACGTGTCGGATTTGGTCACGCACAGTCCAGTCTGAATCGCTGACACAGAGGTCCAATTGAGAATCATCGTCGCGGCCGCTGCCACCGCCATCGCATGCACATCTCCCTTGGTACTGTTCAGCACGTTCGAATGACCCATTTTTTTTAGCTCTTCTCGACAATGCTGGGAGAAACTAGGTTTCACCACACAGTGATACCGCAGGACTTAAGTGTTCGCACATAATTGAAGTCTTTTTTCAACGACCAGAAACCTGTATCAGCAAGCGTGCACACTCCTTCTTCCATACTCATTGCGCCGATCGTCACACGTTGGAAAACTTGACTCCGAAGTGCTTGGCGGTGGCATGATTCCCGTTTTCTTTGGCAAACTTCACAACAGCGAACTTAAATTTCGCCGTATATATAATTACTGTACCCCATCGAAAGAGAACAGCAAAAATGCGAAGGACGAATGGCGAAACCTAAACTTTCGAAATCGACGACCAAGCAGGTGCTTTAGCGCAGACGCAGAGAACGAGGGGAACAGTTGGTGCGACAGGCCCAAGAGGTCCTCACCCGCCTGCGGTGCCGAAAGTCGTTCATGCCGCGAGGCGAGGGCGCATTCACACGGCGGTAGAGATGAAGAGATAAAGGGGGACGAATGCTCGAGCAGTTTTGGAGACCCCCCCAACAGGTCTGAGTGTTCGCGCACGGTTTTCTAGGGACCCTAGTTCGGAGGAAGTCTTCGCACTCGCAGCCCGTTTGACTGCGCACGCCTGATCGGCGGCGAACGCGCCCAGCACGCCCGACCCAAGAATCCAAAAGGGCCACTTCGTGCGTGTCAGGGAGCGCAAAATATGCGAGTAATCTTTTAATATTTTTTTTTTTACGTAAAGCTGACGAAACATTAGGGGTTTGAAAATGATGCGAGTAAATATGGTACTAAATGCACCCCAGTGGAGCAACTGATCTGCATGGCAATTATAAAATTCAGCAAATAAAAAAAATACTGTAATGCTACAGTAATTTCTGCACTTATAATGTTGATAATGTTACTTTAAATGTGTTTTTCCTTATTGAAGCACAACTTTGAAGCATACAACCCTATCTCCTTTGCTTCTTACAACGTTTTCCTAAGGTCTGCACTTCATCAGCTAGAACTTGTGTTTTACAAGATGTTCTGCAGTTTTAATGATGTACACTCAAACCTGATTATAACAAAGTTGCATTTTACAAGAAAATGGGTTCGTTATATCCGGAAATTCATTATAAAGGCTATTTCTAACAATGTCTCTAGTGCAAGACTATTTTTCATTAGCTTCATTATAGCCGATATTTCGTTATATTCGTGTTCGTTTTATGGAGATTTGAGTGTGTGTACTGTATGCTTTCTGCGCAAAACTGATATATACATCTATCAACGTAAACGAAACCAACATGACCAGAGTTCAATGACCAAGTTGCAATGAACCTCGTCAGGATCTGTTCTCTGAGCTCCTTGTCGCCGAGTGGTAGCGCCGAAGTATCTCTGCGTGGATTCGCCGAGCTGTGTGCGGGTCCAGACAGCAACGTCTCTACTGCTGCATCTCGTTGAAGCAGCAGCTGCGCGGCAGCCTCTGTGTCGCCCCCGGCGACCATAAGACAGCGTCGGACTTCCAGAGCGCAAGCTGCCGGAAACATCTCGCAGAGCGTGCGAAAGGTAGTTCCGTCGCACAGTTCCGATTCGTCCTGCAAGGCAACGCGAAATTAAAGAAAAAACTGCGGGCGTTGCTTGGGCGAGGTTTTAATCAATAAGAAGCAAACAAACAAAAATGTTTCGCGTTGAGCATCCTTCTGCTTCAAGGTGCAGTGAATTCACACAACCGTGTTATTTACTAGCCACAATTTCTTAGCATACAAAATTACTTTCAGTCGGGTTTTATTGACAAGTACGAAATACATGGTTCGAAAATTATCTGGACCGTTTGCTTGTGCGGCTAGTTATCGGTTCAGTCGAGTAGACTATACTATGCAAACAGGTTTAGGAGCACAGCTGCATTTAATGGGTCTATAAGGAGGCATGCATAAATAATAGTAATATATGTTGCTTACATTTCGTTATTAATAAAAAAAATCTTAATGTAGCATCGTAACAAACTTTAAATACTATACAAAAAGCATTAAGATAACATACTGCAATAAGAATAAAATATGAGCACAATAGGATTAAGCTGCAATAGTAGAGATATGTTATGATGATGCTAGAAGCGACTGATATGGCAATGAGAATCATAAAGCACCTGGACTAATGCGAAAGGTATATTAACACTCATCATTGCATATTGTAGGCATTCACTGAGGTAATCACTGCAAAAGGGCTAACATCGGTAAAGATAAAAGCTAGCACTCTATATACGTTTATATTTTTCACACATTTAGGCATCATATTTCACCATTTGCTGACAATGCAACAAAACATCTCGGTCAGAAATTCCATGAAGCTGCTGTTCGAGACGCTTTTATTTCCATTCCTGATGCATTTTGCACTACTTTTTGTTTTATTTCCAATTTTCTTCAAATGCTACTGAATCGTTGTGTATGAACACTATACATCGTAGTATTTAACAGTGAAATTTCGTGCGAAGGAATGCTAAATAAAATGGCAATTGTGCTTCAGAAGATGTCAACAAAGGGGAGTTTCAGAACCACCATATGCAGCTACAACAAAAAAAATGTAAGCTCCACCCACAGAACCAAAGTGCGCCAGCCCATCGGCTACCTTAGACATCGGTGCGAGTTGGGTTGCACTTAAACTCTATGCAGTACTTTTTTTGAAGCTAGTGTAAACACCAAGCATATTAACCCCCGTATTCAGAAAATGCTCCTTGACTGGAACTCGACTTTCCACCGCCTCCTCAAGGCAGCGAGTTTAAAGCGCGTCTGTGCTGCCTTGGCACCGCCTGAAGACTACGTTTGGAATGCATTTGTGCTTCGTTCAAGGCGAAGGTAAGTAAAGTGAAGAAGGATTTCTGAATGCGTGGGCAAGAGATAAAGGTTTGTCCTAACTGCCTAACACATTGCGTTCGGCTGAGGTGTGGTGTCAGAATCACTGACAAGGATTGACCAGGACGTTCGAGTTTACAGCCTAAAACAAGCAACACAAACACTTGTACGTTGGGTAAAGTCAACTGTCTGAAATGCTTGAGAGGTGCTCGACATCATTATAATTTAACAAGAGCTATTGGATGGAACAGTTATGCAAGTTCTCTCTGTGGGAGAAACAGCGAGGGCTGTAGGCGGAGCTGACATTTTTTTTCTTGTGTTGTGTCTGAGTAGATAACAACAGTCACACTGTAAGGATGAGGTTGAATAAGACATACACAGACGGCGATGCGGTTCGGCTTGCCAATGTCCTCTTCCGACTGACTCGTGTTTCGGGAGCGGGGTGTTGACTTGTTGGACGTTTTGCTCTCTGGCGAGATGACTGGTGAGGTCAGCAGGCTTTCTGCCGTTCTTTTGGCTGAAACGAGGTGTGAGGAAGTTGCACTAACCAGCTTTAAAAACAAAAAAAGGTCGTACTTAGATTCATCAACCTCTGATACTAGTAAAGGGTCTTACTTTCAGTGTGTTTTCCGACTTTTCCGGAGAGCAGCCCTACCCAAGAGGAAATCTTTGTGCTGCACAAGTAAAGAAAGTAATCACGCAACAGCCAATAATGTAATTCCAGACACGCTCTTACACTTGGAGAGAGAGAGAGTGTGTGAGATTTATTTCACGAGCACTGGAAAGGATTGTATGGTGACATACCTAGCATGCTAGTTCGAGTGGGCATGATAATGAATTATCTGATCATAGATATTGTTGGTGTTTGCTGGGGCCTACATGATAGCTTACCACTAAAAATAGATCACAGTGGGTCCAAAGGAGTAAAAGGCTAAACATTGTGAATTTTTGAGAATTTCTGCTAAGCCAAAGTGGTTGAAACACGAAAATATCCTTTGACATCCATGACATAACACTGATGCACAAAGGGACTGAATTGATAAGCACTAGAACACTGACATGACTTTTATATCTACTGATAATGAACCTAACATTTCAGCGTTAATGACACAAAAGCTTTTTAGTGAATAGTTTATCAGTCTAACCCGACCTACAGTTTCACAAAAACCGAGGTGTGGAAAACCTCATGCCCTAACTTTTCTTATTACATGAAACAATCTAAAGAGATCAAAAGCATTCTTCGCATGCACTCCTTATGCATGAACAAATAACTGAAGGAAGCGCATCTGGGCGAGTTGATGAACAGTGTCAAATTTAAACGTTGACAAAATTTTGTGATGTTCTTGACGAAATGATTGATAACAGCTGCCAATGTATTGCGGACCACCCACGGAGAAGAAAGTGCTCACTCTGATATCGAGTCGAAGCTTGGGATGTAAGCGGAAAGCATTTCCTTGAACTCCAACACGTCGAATCCTTCCTCGGCTATGTCCGACTCCAGAATCCCCACGACATAGGCCAGCAGAATTTCGTCGATCATGCTGCGAGTGTGAAAATAAATAAATGATTGTTTCCAGCTGCGTTGCAGTGGAATTTTTCAATCACCGATATATTACGAGCTTAGTGTCATTCCCATGCGTTGAATCCTAAATCAGTCAACGCTCCAAATAAAACTTGTTTTCTTCAAAAGGTGATATTCAGTCTTGGTAAATGCATCTTATTCAAATACATTCAACAGTTCTTTGAGAGAACTTCTGACTGTTTCACGTAAGAAGATAATTCTTTTTTCGACTAGAAATGACCCGCGCACAATGATTACTTATACACATTTGAGAAAAGATTCATAAGACACTTTAATTTTTGTGTTTATTTGCAACTTAATTATCAAATATATTATAAGACACGTTTGCAATTATTCACTTCACATTTTTCCATACAACATTTTCAGTCCTAACTACATATACAAGACACATGTGTCAGCAGCAACATGCATGACAGCCAAAACTTTGCCATAAAACACTAGAAAAATTTCTGCTGATGCTACACAGAATGCATAGTCTTGTTCATAGCAGAACATACAAGTCCCACACAGATATTTTGCCACTCCTTCCACTTCTTGTATAAGGGCTAATGTTCTCTCAGACAAAAAAATATATTTTTTGTGGGTTCTAATAGCTGCAACAGAAGTGGCAACCACATAATATAAACTTGTGCCCAGCAAGTAGCCGGACACAGAAACATGCTTAACATCAAAAATGAAAGCATAAAAGCTATTGAGAATATTATGTGCAAGTTTTAAATTTATTAGGTGATGGTACCAACGTTTTCCACTGCATAGTTGTTGCAACATCTGCAGGGGCTGTGCGGGATATAGGCTACAATTCGACTCATTATGTGAATACGAGCTAGAATAAGCAATGGCATCAACAATATCCATGATAGTTGAATTTAATTTATGTATTTATTATGTACATTGTCTTTCCAGACGTTACAGAAAAAAAGGGGATATAGAAACCTCTACAAAATTTCGATTCCGTTCTTAGACACAAGTGTGGTAAAATTCATCATTGGGCTCTAAACATGCAATATCATACAGCAGAGCATTTCAGTCCCTTGCAGTGCAACAAAAAAGAAGAGAGAGAGAGAGAGCAAGAGAATATCCCAAGGTATCGCCTCTAAAAGAAATTTTCTGAAGTTTTAAGCTTTGATCACTTCTACAGTGACATACGCAACGGTGGTTTAATACACCCGACTCTGTTAATGCCTCTTCTAGAAGAATATATACTATAGTAAAATCAGTCTAGAATGTCTTTCTTCTGCTCCTTAAATTCTTCCACTGAAGCTTACGTTTGCTTTCAGAGACGATAAAAATTTTTGCCACAGTTTTTCAACAGAAATTAAAATGATGAAACAATAATGAACCTCGGTGAATCACCTACGCCCAAAAGAGTCACCTCTAGCGTCCCTGCCAAAATTTACACTAATGTGCCTTTAACCTAAGGTCATCATTCATCATGTATATTGTGCCAGACGACCTAATTCACAAAGCTTATTTCATAATCGTATACATCAACAATGGCTATACGAATGATATGATGAGTGTCATGTCTATTGCTTTCTAATGCAATACGATGACATCACTAGAGAGCAATAAGATTTCTTTACTAGAAAACGCTCCCACAGGATTAGCTGCCATTTTTTTTTTAAATACAGGGTAGTACTCTGCATTTTTCAGCATAGCAAATGTTGTAGTGACTTGAATATGCATTAAAGACCTTTTGTACAAAACTAGCACAAAATTTTCTGTCTTGAGAATAACAGCGCCACTGTACACAATATCCCAGACACAGAAACTGCGAACAACATGTACAATGCTACAGGGCTTTATTCAGTCAAATAGCATATTTCGCTTCGCCATACAAGCATTGGCAACGAATAATGCTTATATTTTTATAAAAACGTTATCTGTTGCCAATGCTTGTATGGTAAAGCTAAATATGCTATTTCTCAAGAGGATGGCTTACTTTACCGCAATTCCTTCGTGGTACTCTTGTACTGTTTGCCTTGATGGTGTATAATCAAATTTAACGTACCTCACATGTACGACCTGCCTTACAAAGGCTGATCATGCAGCAATTAACTGAGTTCAATGAAGCGGGTACACTTTTGAAAACAAACCAAGCAGTGCACAACATTATTCTGATTATTTGGCACACAATTCTATTTCCACGCAACTGAATTTTCATAAGGCGGCATGCTAAAAAAAATGCGGATATGTCGTTAACCAACGAGCCGCCGTCCACTAGAGTTTAGTGTAGTTAAGAGTAGCACGCCGCAATAACAAATTTGCTCACACGCCACACTAAACGGACAGGAATCCACAGTTTCGCTTACTCTGCGGCATCTTCGTTCGTCTCCTGCTGAATGAAGCACACCAGGGATTTCTTCACGAAAGCGTCCGAAGCAGGCTTTGAAGCATCACCATTCATTCTTCCCGTCTGCCGACGCAAAACAGGGGGGCACGAGTTTCACAAAAAGCAGTTCCCGAAACAGCAACTACAACAGCTCAGAAGACACGCGCGATCCTTCGCATCACCGGTTAAAGACGTAGAGATGCCTCCGTGAACGCATTAGAGCGAATGAAAACACAAGGCCGTTTTAAACTGTACGAAAAGAACAGCGGAGCTATTCGAGCGGCCGTCCGGCGCTAGCACGATACGGAAACCGAAAAGGCGTCCATTCCGCACTGCACTACTGTTGTTTCTTTTTTTGGAACGATGTTTTTGTTTCAGCGCACTGAGACCTCATAGGATAGACTATCGTACCTTGCAATCGAGTATCGTTGACGAGGGTTTGTTTGTTGGCTATTTTTGTTGGCACATCGCGAATCAACAATACAAACTCGCCACTTCGGCTAGCTGCCCCAACAAGCGGCGGTCCTCTCTACACGGGACCGACCTATTTTCGATTTCGAACAACCCACCGCGCTCGACCATTATCAAGATTGGAAAGGCGGAAGGATAGATATTGGTCACATTTCCGCCCGCTCAGCGGATACAACTTTCTAGGTTCGGCGATGTCGCCGATAAAGATAAAAAAAAAGAAGGCACAGGGGCGCGCAAATCACTACATTCGGCGACTGACCGCACGCGCAGTATCACTACGCTCGCTTCACGGATGAAGCAGCCTAGGGAAGCGTACGAAATATTTTCCCAGGTTATCACGGGCCTTAACAAAGCGCGGCCGTACCTTTTTGTCAGTGGAAAAAAAAGATCTCCGCTCGCCTCGCACAAGAAACCAGGGACGCGACCGATGCCGAAGGAGAGAAACTGTCGCTCCGAAAGTGAAAACAACATCTAAAGCATAGCCTCTGCGCCCTCTGTAAACAAAATGACGGCCAATTCCCGTTTAGCTTTTGTCTTTGCGCGTCGTATTTGCACTGTTACCGGGGGGGCGAAGCGCTTTCGTAATCGGCGCTAACCAAGCTTTAGCTAGTTTCGCCGGGTTATTCTGAAACGGCGCGTAAGAAAACCCTCTGCAGTGTCATTTGTCGAGTTCGCGCTCGTGAGTTTTTTTATTTTCAGCTCGCCGTGCGTGTGAACTTGCCTGGTTTGCGCAAACATACTCGCTCTGCTGTTTGGTTCTTGTGCGAAAATTAAAACGTGCGGACGAACCAAGCGGCGCAATTGTCCTTGAACAGTGCAAGCGATTTAATGGTTTGAGTAGTTTAAAAATGGCCGCCAGCACGGAGGCGCCATGTTTGTGTCATGCCTGTCACTTGTGTGGTCATTTTCAACAACCACACTAAAACAAAAAAACAGCATAAGTTAACAGCATTTGCGTGCCCTTAAGCGCTCAGTAATTACTGAAATTTGAGGTATATAGCACATGTCTTAAAATTAAGGCTAGTCTTTTATATAGTTTTCGAACAACTTATTTTGGTTGTCTATACTATATTCGTAGGTTTCCTTTTCGAGAGTACACGCTGCTATTGCATGTACGGTGACCCGTTAGCTCAAATGGCTGAAACTGTGGCTGAAATGCGCGGGTTACATGGCAGGTTGCTGCGATCGTTGCGATGTAGACCCGCGCGAAGTTTGCTTTAGTCAATTTAACGTAGTCATGTAAGTTGTGCTACGAGGGTTGAAATGTCTTCAGGCATTTGCGCCGAGCTGTCTAAAGTCCGAGTACTCCTGGACGACATCGAATGCCTCGTTTGCGACGAACAAGCGAACTCCGATTGTCGGACCGAGTCCCAGCTCAAGCTCGTCGCCGAAATGCTCGGTAAACTCCGGGACGAACTGACGACGACGAAGGGCTCTGCGCCTTCGTGCGACGGCGTCGGGGACAGTGACGGTTGGGGTAGCGACGATGACTTTGATAAGAGCGTCGTCGCGATGTGCGACATAGCCGAAAGTGTCAGCAAGCTCGATGCCACCGATCCATCGGGCTCGGTTCACAATGAAGGCGTCGATGAAGACCGCCATGATAACTACGACATTGAAACCGACGACGAATTCGACAGCTTCTGCGAGAACGGCGCGCCGGCGGGTCCCACGTTTCAAGTCACCACCGAAGAGTCGCTCAGGAACGAGCCGCCACCGTCGGAGGACCACCTACGGGTATTGAGGATCAAGTTCGGCCACAGCGCGTTCAGGCCGATGCAGTGGAAGATAGTGCGCTCCATCTTAGAGGAAAAGAGGGACAACTGCGTTGTCATGGCGACCGGCTACGGAAAGAGTCTGTGCTACCAGTACCCACCCGTGTACACGGGTGGAACGGCTGTCGTGGTGTCTCCCTTAATCTCTCTGATGGAAGACCAAGTCCGGGGTCTGGCCGCTGCCAACATTCCGGCGTGCTTCTTGGGCTCGGCGCAAAGCCGGCAGAGTGAAGCCGTGAATGAGCTGTTGGCGGGTCAGTACAGGGTCCTTTACATCACCCCAGAGTTCGCGGAGTCAAACCTCAGCCTGCCGAAAATGCTGGATAAACGTGTTGGCATCACTCTATTCGCCATCGATGAAGCCCACTGCGTGTCGCAGTGGGGTCATGACTTCCGGCATTCGTACCGGAAACTGGGCGCACTGAGGCAAAGCTTCCCGCATGTTCCATTCCTGGCGCTCACGGCCACTGCGACCCCGAACGTTAGAGATGACATTGTACGCGCCCTTTCACTCAAAGATGTCGTCCTGACGTGTACAAGCTTTGACAGGCCCAACCTGTATTTGGATGTGAGAAGAAAAGGCGTCATGATGGACGACTTGAAAGAGGTCATTCCAAAAGACGACAGCCCGACGATCGTCTACTGTTCCACGAGGGGGACTACCGAAGAAGTCATCAAAATACTGCACAACTTGGGCGTCAAGTGCGCCCTGTACCATGCCGGCCTGTCACTGGAAGAAAGAAAAAAATCCCACACAATGTTTCTGGAAGACAAAGTTCAGGTCGTTGTGGCAACGGTCGCATTTGGCATGGGCATTGACAAGCCCGATGTGCGAAGGATCATCCACTATGGCGCCCCGAGGGATATTGAGTCTTACTACCAGGAGATCGGCCGGGCCGGCCGTGATGGCTTGCCCAGCAAGTGCATAGTCTTTTTCAGTAATGGAGACCTCGTCTCAAACAAATACTTCCTGAAGGACATTTCGAATCCTTTGTTCCTCCAACACAAGACAGACATGCTAAACAAAATGCAGCATTACCTAAGCAGCACTCGCTGCCGCCGTAAGTTGTTGCTGGCCCACTTTGCCGGCGCTGAGGCAGACATGGTTGGTGGCGTGCCACATTGCTGCGACAACTGTACGCGTCGACTTAACCAGGACAAGGCTAAAGATGCTAAACAGGTCCAGACGAACAAAGACGGCAAGACCAACTATACTAAGGAAGCCCGTCTTCTGTTTGATGTCGTTATGGGGACAAAGCAGAGGTACGGGATAACTGTACCCATAGCCGTTTTACGGGGATCTTGTTCACAGAAGGTGCCAGATTATTTGAAAAAGAGCATCTATTTCGGTACCGGGAAGCACAAGACGGAAGCATTTGGAAAGCTTTCGCAAGGCTTCTACAGTCTGAAGGATATCTGCAGGAAAAGGCAATCCACAACTCTGGCATGCCAAAAGGTGCAGCTACACGATTTATTTCCTCCATCGTCCTGACAGAAAAGGCGAAGGAGTGGACTCGTGGCAGTGAGGAGCTTCTGCTTGAACCGACGACTGAACTGGCCGACATGGAAGCTCCTCGGCCTGTAGCCAAGCCTCAAGTGTTGCCGAAGACTGTGGCTCCTAGGCTGCCGGTGCCGGCGACCGGCTTCGCCGACATCATAGAAAGCCGGCAGAAAGCTAAGATGGAAGACGAAGATTCGTTCCTGGCACTGACCAGAAACGAGGAGCCATCAGAAGATGAAAAGCTCCGCTCCGAGCTCTATGCCCAGTTGGTGGAGCTTCGCAATCGAATGGCGTCAGAGTGCGGCTATGCTCCGTACATGGTTTTCAATAACCGCATTCTTCTGACCATCGCCCAGGCTTGTCCGACATCTCTGGAACGACTAGGGAAGGTCGAAGGTGTGTCCGAGGCCAAACTGAACAAGTTCGGCGGACGGGTGGTCGAGGTGGTTTCCCAGTTCTGCAAGGACCGCGGTCTTCAGCCATCGGATGACCAGGACGAGGTGTCGACGGATGCCTCTTCGTGCCAAAATGATTCTTTGAACTACTTGATGCAGGAGCTGAACTGACACGCAGCGAGTGACTTACCTTCTGTATCGAAAGAGCCAGAACGTCACGGGCATAGCGACTAGCCGCGGCCTTGCCGTTTCGACAGTTATCGGACACCTCACCGAAGCCATCAAGGTGACACTCTCTTGTAAAACTGCTGTTTACGCTGCAGCTTGCCATTTGTTTAAAGGGACTTTTTTTTTCTCATGTTAGTAAACTATTGTAGTTGCTCATAATACGAGTTTTTTTTTCCAGATGTCAGCTGTCTAAAGTCGCTCTCTCTATTACAATCGAATACCGAAGTTAATTTCTTTCTTCCTGGAAAGAATTAAAAGTCCATTACAATCGAGTAAATACGGTACTCTTTCACAGTACTAGAAATATCACACTTGCTGCAAAAAGACACTTGGTAAGCAAGAAGACATGCAAAAAATAAAATAAAATGCGGGTGGTGATGCCATTCTCGAAGTTCATGCATTAATATTCACGATGTCATAAATTCTGACTGCATCTGCAAAGAGGACCTATGTAGCTCCTCATTTGTAAAAACGAATCACATTGTCTTCTAAGGGAGCCACAGACTCAATGTACCAGGCGTCAGAAAATTTTTGTGAGCAAATGTGGCTGAAATACAAACTAACTCTCAAATCCGTGACATCACCATTGGTGATATACTGCGGCAAATTTAGACCTTTCAAATGATTTCCAGAATATGTCAATAAACTTGCAGTAATGAAATTAAAACTGTGAGTTTTGAAAGCATATCAGTCTGAACTAATTTGTTGTTTCATTTTAATGTCCCCTTAAAATGATATACCTTGAACAATTCCCAGCGACTTGTGAAGGCACCATGAATCTCCACTTACTGAGCACTGCAAATTTTATAACATGTTGTGATCTTGGTAATTTTTATCTAAATTGCACCTTGAAGTAAAGAAAATATCGCATGCACATTGTAGTCCAGTAGAAAACCAACACCATAGAAGTTCCTGGGCAATTTCCACTAGCCCATCTTGAAGGCTAGATTAGCTGTACTTCAAGTGCCAGCTATCCAATGAGCACTGAATGGTTTGTTTTCACTAGATTCCTTCGATAGCAGATGTCCTGTAAATATCTGGTTTCACAGCAGCGTTGTTGCAAAAAATCTCTATTTTCCCAGGTTAGATAAAATTGCAATTTCTATTACAATGAGAATCTGGTGAAGAAATAATTGGGCACAATACATTTTCAATGTAATGCATCAATGTTGACACGAAACACACCCCTTTTTTGTCTGTGATAAAAGGGCAGATTTTCTTGCTATAATGCAAAAAAGTGGCTGCTTGGGCTGGTTGGTATTGTATTCTAAATGAAATACACTTTCTTGGTGCGCAGAACATTTTTTTTTTTAGCTCTGCCCTATATGACTTTTCTGAAATGTTCTGCACACTAAGACAGTATATTTCTTTTAGGATTCTTGTTATACACCATTAATATAGTATTCTACTTTTTCTTTGCTACCAGGCGGATATGATACAGAACATAGAGAACCAGTGCACTGATCGAGGTTGACCTCGCAGTTCAGGCAATGCATTACACAATGTGTTTAGTGTCTTCGAGGCTATTATTATTATTATTTCTTTTTTGGAATGTTATGCCCATTCATAGGTGTCGAAATCATCTCATAAGGTGCTATTTAAAGGCTGTTAGTACAAGCGATTGACACTCTTGGAAACATTTTGGCGTGCACACAATAGATGAGAAAACAGAAGGCGAGAAGAAAAATGGGCCCGTTTGTCTTCTCGCCTTGTGTTTTCTCGTCTATTGTGTGCACGCAGAAATGGTTCCAAGAATGTTCTCAAACCAGCTCGCCCAACTTCCCATACTATTACATTTCACATTATTGATGTCGGTATTATGCAGCATTCATCCTAAATATCGACTAACTAAAATTTTGCAGCAGTTGGTCTTGTAATACAGTTACGTATGGGCATGGCTAGGTAACCAACGCTTCAGCTATTTCGGAGCAGTGCATCTGTAGTGCCACCAGCTTGAAAAGTCACTGGGTAAACATTCGTGTGTTACATCAACGAAGGATGCCACCCAGTTCCGTGGCCAGTTCGGACTAGTCTGGATGCAGCGTCAGCGCTCCGAACTTGGTGCTTCTGTCTTAGTATGGTGCATGCAGTAACTGCTTGGTAAATGTAAACTCGTCACACAAATGTTAAAAAATGCCACGAACACAACTCAACGAACTTGCACATTGTATTGGATGTCTGATGCTGTCTCCGTACCAGTCCGTCCTGTGCGCTTGCACTGTCACTAATCGGCAACTGCGGCGGCTAGTGTCGCGTTACCCGCCCTTCCAACCAGATGGCACCAACACTCATAGTTTCAAGTCAAAGCGGTCAGGAACACTCAGGGTTGAAGGTCGGCACTCCGAAAGAACCAGCCGAAGGTAGTTCGGGCACTCTATAATAACCAAGCACGCCGCCATTTTTAAGAGCGCTCAAAAACACTGATTCAAAAACTGATTAGTAACAAAGTAATGTGGTTCATGTGCTCAATCGCAGCACATGGCAGTCTTTCTTCCTGTCAGATGGGTAATTGTGATCGTGCAAAACATTTTGTAGCGTGTGATCGCTTGCATAACTTGAATAAATAATCGCGAACAAATGCATGACAGTTTCTAGTAGGAAGTATCTGATAAACTTTATCTGCCCCCATTGCGTCTGTGAACAGGTCGGACTACCGGTTGACCTGGAGAGTCTCGGAGTGACAACTGAAATCTTGGAAGCTGTCACTAACGCTGTGATGAATCTGAGCGGCGACATCGGCAGATTGACTCCGATCAAGGACCTCTGTCCTGAACACGTAGAGTTCAATCACATCAAAGCGGTCTTGGCTTACCTGCAAGCCAAGTATGGCATCGAAAACTCTAGACTGAACCTCCCAAAGACCTTAACGTCCTCGGTGACTGGCAGTCGAAAGACCACGAGCGAGCGGCCAAAGCCAGCTGAAGAAAAACAAGTTGTAGCGGAAGACGCTGTGCCACGGACAAGAAGCGAGAAGCGGGGCGTCTCCACTGAGCAGCTGATGACCGTCAGCAAAAAGATGAAGAGCAGTTCGCTATTCAGGAAGTGAAAACTGTTGCTGTTTATTGTCTCCTGTGATGTAGTGTGTCATAATAGCAACCCGTAATTGCTCCCCTCAGACTGCGTGATATTCTACTTTCCGTGTCTGCATTTTCTCTCGTGCAAAGCGATAACTATTTACATAAGGCCCCAAATGTGAAGACTATCAGTGCAGTGAATTCGTGCTTTTATATAATGCTAAGATACTCATAGCAAAAAACTTGTTTTTTGGTTCTGAACTTTATTGCGAAGCCATGTTGATAGTAACGCGTATGAAGTGCCTCTGCAGAAGTAAGTTGATGAGCGTTAAGTCTGCCAAAAGAAATATGGAAGGTGTTCTGAGCAACCATTCTGTCCTGTTGCCATAATTTTCAGTATGCGCATCTAGTAATACGCATTTTTACTTAGCATTCACTGAGCAGAATTTCCCCGACTTACAATTATATAAATGCAGTTTTTGAGTAATATTGCCTTTTGCATTGCATTTATTTTGTTTGTTACGTTATTTCTTTTGTACTGTATTAGTTGCACGACGTCGTATATGTTTTTATGAATGCTAAGTTCAAGTAAAGCAAATATCTTTTTATTTTTTATATTCGACCTTGTTTGCCTCAACAGAACGAATAGTTCGATGAGTTCTCCCTCATGACATGAAAAGGCGAGAAAGAAACAATGACACAGAATACAAAGCAGCGTGTCATCCCATTTCCTGTACTGCATTGCATTTTTCGTGCCTTTTCAAGTCCTGTGACATGTCTGTACGACCACAGTAGACACAAAACGGTTTCAACAAATCTGTTATGCTGCAGTAAACTGCAGGTAACTGCAGGTATTTCTGGTGAACTTCAGTATCGCTTTACAAAAAGGGTTGTCATATTTCAAGCCCTTGCTACATTTGGACTGTAGAACACTGGCAAAAGCAACTGGCGATGACTTTAAGAGGCTTGAATAGTGATGTGATGTCCATGTCTATCAATATTAACATAGGTGCATATGCTAATGCACATTATCATGTTATCAGGTTACAATGTTGCTTGTAACTCTAGTTTATGTGCACATGCACGACAAAGAACACATTATGAAAGCCACGCCCTGTTTCAGTGGTATGCAATAGGCTGGAAACATTTATCGGCACAGGTGTAAAAGTAATCCTTTGGTTCTTTGACCGCTAATATGCAATGTCAAACATATTTCAGAAACTTCAGAGACCTAAAGTCTTTTACCCTGACAAGCTCTGGTGCATTCTTTAATTTGCTTAATTGACTGGTTAAAGCGAAGTAATTACTAGTAGCTCCTACCAGCCAATGCTGCTAAACCTGTGATTACAAAGCTAGCCCTGTGATCATTCGCTGACAGTGAAGCAAAAAAAGGAATTGAATGTGAATAGAATTCTGTCGATTTGTTGTCTGTGGTATGTCTTAATTCATACTTCGTTCTTGTTTACTGACACCATGACTGTAGTAAATGTTTAAGTATTACAGTTGCAGCTACATAGGGACTGCAATTGGCAAACAGTTTGCAGGTGACACCTATAATTTAACACATCAAAACCATTTTCTTCATTTTATACTGTACACAATTGTTTATTTGCTTTGCCCTAAAATGTACATCTGTCTAGCTGGTCCCATGCCTCCACTAAGCAAGATTCTGCTGCAATGCATACAAACCACAGCTGCAATATAAAAGCTCATAGCCGCACTATTTCTTTTGTTGCCACAGTCAAAGCAACACCACTACCATGAACTCCTAGTTCAGAGGCTTATGTAGTACTTCATCAGAAAAAATTGAGAACGTTGACAGCCTTTTTGAGAAGTCTGCATATAAAAGAAAAAGCTTAAAAGAGACGAATGAGGGTGACATCACAGGGGGAAAATGCATGTCGGTCTGTAAACGACGTTAGCACAAAACAGTGCATCTATTAGTACAACATTCATACAAACATACACAGCTTTCACACAATGCAACAAGACTTCATGTTTTCAGACCTCACGTTTTCAGTTCTGCCCACGACGAGGGACCGGGTGACGCAGTCAGACCTCGCATTATTACACAGTGTGGCAGTTGTACTTTCTTTGCCAACTAGACGTATGCCATAGCACCACTTCCGATTTGCAAGCACGACACGCGAGGGGACACTCCCGAATTGTCACTTCACGAAAATGAAGGCACACATTTGGCGCTAAGTGGGTAAAAAAAATGTAAAGTACTTGTCAGTCTGTCTTCATTGTCACCAAATGCTCCGGAAGAAGTTCCAACGTCGAGTTTATCGTTAGTCAACCTGCATGCCAAGTAGCGATGAGCTTGCAGTGTTTTCCGTGTAGATCATTTGCGTAGAAGGTTAACGAGTACTATGCTGTACGAACACAACAGGTCGTTGTGCGATCCTCATTAGGCTTGTGCGATTTTTGTCGGGACCGGTGTTTTTCAGTTGTGTGACTGTTGACCCTGTGTCCAACGATGGTGCTTTCACACGAGGTACGCGAGGAGTATGACGTGAATCAGCACGAGGTAGAGGCCCAGCGTGATCTGGCCGTACTTGCGCCTTCGAATCGCGAGCCGGCAGTTTCTTCTGCAATGCAAACAAGTCGGAGCACCGCCCGAGTTAAAACGACGCCAAGATGCACGACCCCGAGCAAACTTCAGCCAGTGACAACGACCTGCCAATCGCGCAGTTTGCTGCAGCTATCATGAAGAACACAATTTTCCTTGAAGTGGTCTTTCACTCTCTCGTTTAAGTGCCCGCACACAGGTGTGACCTAAAGTCTAAGTTTGTGAGCGTAACAGTGCATGGAGCCTCACACTGTTCAGCAGTGCTCGCAGTGTTGAGCAGTGTGTCCAAGTGTGGAGTACATACACTGGCATCGTCACGGCAATGTCAATCACGTACCAAGGCAGATTGTTATGAAACTGAACTCATTTTTCTCATGTTTCATTTAGTTGCGTGAAGTTGGTTTTTGTTGTTGCACTGCTGCACAGTAAGCTATGTGTGTTACAGTGGCTGTTAAAACTTTAAACATATCAACCATGAACGCAAAGGCTGAAATAAGCTGGGGCAAGTGCACATGGGGTCACATTACGAACGAGACAGTCTCACAAACATAGCTTGACACAACAAGTCATGGGAATGAGAAATAAAACAGTGCAAACATCAGGACACATTAGGTGGATTTCAATCACTCCAAATAAATCTTATAGCAGCACAAAAGAAGTGGTGCCTGGGCATGCTCTTTTGCACTGACACGTGAGCCCCCTGTTAAGACAACTCAAACCTCAATATAAAGAACCCAGATATAACGAAATATCGGTTATAACGAAGTGAAAAAAATAGTCTTGCAATGAATATAGTACTAGGAATAAACCTTCATAACGAATTTCTGGACATAACGAAATTACTTTTGTGTAAGATGCAACTGTTATAACGAGGCCCACGTGAAATGAATTAAAATAAACTAAATTTTAGCATCTGCAAACCGCTCCCTGAAGTATTATGGATGCTGAAGTATAAAAGAATGAATTTTATTCCAGGTGCCCGGTATTCATTGACATGCACAGAAAACATGACGCATGGATAATTGTTGCAGTTTGCAAGCATTGTGATAAAGCAGCTGCACATTGAACTCATGGCCATACACGTTTACATGCAGAATTCTGTAGACAAATTTAATCATAAATTGTGATTTTAAAAACGTGGGTTTCGTAAACCAATGCTTAAGTACATACACACACTATCAATTTTGAATTTTGCCTCTCATGGAAAATGCAGCTACAATGGTCAGGAATTGAACCCACAGCCTAGTATATTCACAATGCCATGTCCACTAAGTTGCAAAGGCAGCTTAAAACATTACGAATTGGCCCAGAAGAGTCAAACCATATGTAACAAATGTCAGTGATAAAAATAAAAGGAAACAAAATCAGCAGATGTCACTCACTATTAAAGCCGTAGGTCTACGATTTCAACAGTTTTCTTTTTCTTGCAAGGAATACCCTTAAAAGCTTGCCCAACAACAATAAAGCAAAATGCGCAAGGCTGCCTCACCATTCTTAATAATAAAATATGGAGAATTTTTAACATGGCTACTGTTTGTTTAAAGACTGTCAATACACAATCGAAATTAAATTGCAACTTTCATTTCTTCCTCATTATCGAAATTCAGTGCTAAAATATAAAGATAGCTCTTAAGAAATGCCAAAAAAAAAAGGAATGGGTACCTCTGTCGCCTCAAAAAGCCTCTTAGATGTGATGCACACTGTGACCTGATGCGTCCCTGAAAAACCAGTCGGCTCAGTGCATGTCAAGCAATGCATACAACAGCAATAAAAGGCTGAATAGTCAGCAGTTCTCGCAAAAATTTAGAGGCATTGTAGAAGAGAAAAAAAAAAAAAAGAAACTCTAATCACCAACTTTCTACATTTAACACTCGCTAAAGACAAAACTGTTTTTCTTTATTAGTAAATTAGGATTTAAGAATACCGCAAGCAACACACTTATTACGAGAAGATGTTTGGTCAGCTAGAAAACGTGCAAGAGAAGTTAAAGGTCTTAAAGTTCTCGCACCAGCTTGCCATGGCTGCATAAATTTTTATAGCATCTGCTAGAGCCCACGCAATTGTTAGTAACTGAAAACGATTTTCAGTGTGCTCTAGGGAACCCAAAGTCATAAGATATCAAGCTTCAGTAAACTTAACAAAACCGATTAAATGAAAACATCCAAAAAGACTTCGAAATTTATGACATCACCCAGATGTTCACGTGGTGGGTATGAAATTTCAAACAAAAAAATTCAATTTTCATTTTTCCAATAATCATCCTATGGTGGCAAAATAATTACAACAGAGTCCTGAAAGAATAATTCAACAGTTTAAACTATTTTAAGGTATCACTTTAGTGTTTCTTTAACACTATTCAGTTCGCTCTGAAACTATTGTATTAACTCTTATTAGTGTTCACTAATTGATAGAAAACTAAGCAACAGCTGTAGGTAATGGCCTAAACAAAATGTGAAGGCTAAACCATGAGTTACGTGCAATTAAAACTTTTCCACACATAACAGTAATCTCTCAAACGATTAGCTGTTGTTGACTTAAAATTTTATGTCATTAAGCTAGTATAAGGCCTTCAACCGTTATGCACATCTGTGTAATCACCAAACTGTCACCAATTGCAAACTCTTGTTGCCAGATTTGTTTAGCTGTTACAGTTTTCTGTTATCAAACTGTTAGTTGTAAACTCCTGTTATAAAAGAGTTAGCTGTCGTGTTACATGCCACATGAACCCCTGTTATCAAACTACTAGCTATCACTGACTGCCACTATACTGAAATTAGAGGTCAAGTCCAGCCATACAAACTTCTAGTGTTAACGGGAGTCTGTTGTCAATCTGTTAACAACCACCACTTCTCCAATCTACCAGGAGTAATCAAGAAAGTAGCACAAATACATTGCTTAAGTACTCTAAAATTAAAAAAATGCAACAGAATCGGCTATACGCAAAAAATAAAACCTGAACTAGGGACCCCTCAACTGCACAAAAATTAAAATGGCAATATGGCAAAGAAATAGAATGACCACAGGGACACCGAACGTAGAGCATTAAGCCAAGTGCAAGCAGAATTATACTCCTTGAAACTTTCCAGTGTTTGTACTGCCGTTAGAGGTGGCCTTAGAATAGAGAAACCTTCCAATCAAGAAAGCACATACCTCATTCCCATCTAGATTCATACTTAAAATTACAGTCCGATAGCAATTTTATTTGCAGCTCAGCAGAACTTGGTCTGAGGCTAACTGATTCATACTCAGCACAATATTTGTAATGTTAACGCGACAGTAAATACAAATGTTGCAGAACAGATGTCACACTTACAACTGAATGAACCGATCATGTGTAAGACAGTGGTGTTAGCAGCTGTGTTTGCGTACATCACAGCACCACATTTTGCACAGAGCAAATGCACCGAACTACCACACATTCGCTCTTTGTGGAGTTCTTGTGCATGCAACACTGCTATAGACACTGAGTGCACCGATTCTTGACGAAGCACAGCATGCGAAAATAGTCTCCTATCATACTTACTGCCTTCCCTGTAGCCACCTACGAAGCTTGGATGCGTGCGACATAAATTGACGAGCTGAAAAAAAAAAGATACAGAAAATAAAGGAGTAATTTTGTAAGCTCCTTAGTATAACACATGAACTCGAAGTTTAGCGGGGTATGGAGGCTTGAGGTGATGAAAGCTCATCCAAAAATAAATGTCGCCAGTGCCAGTGTTTGGACAATAATGCTCTTCTTCATCTTATCACCAGCCGCTCTTACCAGTGATAAGTCCCACATGCCAGAGCATTGGCTCAAGCAATGATCCCTGTTTGACAAATTCGCTTCTCTGCACACATTCTTCTTCGTAACGTGGGTTGCCAAGATTCAGAGGTTCGCAAGCTTACGCATTAGTCAATGCACATCCCTCACTTCTAATCCAATAGCTTTGCACTTCCACAGTGCACTCCCGTGAGTGCTGGTCTCAGTGGCAATTCGAAATTCCCGTTCTACCAAGACGTAATAAAATTTTAGATGTGAGTCAGCGCGGTAGTCTGTTTTCTCTCTTCTCATCCTCGTTTTTGTTACACTAGTACGTATTAACCCAATTAACCATCTGCTATGGTCACAGTAGACTGGCAGTATTGCAAATAAATAAATAAATGAATTAATAACGTAAAGCTTTTCTAAAAATCTCGCCCAGGTGAGCACATATGTTCATTTAGGTAAAAGTACCCGCAAAGCTAAGCAATGATGTTCAAAAGCAAGCATTTCTATTTAAAAAATATGATTGTGCTTATCCCATATTTGGTACTACAGAAATTTTGCAGGAATATCACATTCATGGCCCTGATATAACAATAACATGTAACACCGCTCGTTTCTTCGTCGGTAAAAAAAATACGATTCAGCCTTCACCTTCATCATCCATTGCACATATGTCACATATTATAGGATGTATCCAAAACCAAAATGAATGCTTAGGTGATTAAAACAAAGTTCAAAACACTGTGCACGTGCCAAGCTTGCACGCACTGCCTCTGAGATACTTGGCACAGCTGGCATCTTAGAGGTCAAGCTCCGCCTTTCTCATTTAAGTAGGCTTATTACAAAAAGTGGGTGCCACAAACCTGAGACCCCACGTGATAAATGTCAACATGTAGCATACTCATAATGTTTTAAAGAAAGGCATTCTTTCGGACTATAGCATAATCTCAGATTAGATACAAGAGACTTCTGCAGTACAATGCATGCTCCAAAAACAAGGCGGGAGATAATGATGCTTTCTGAGTCTCTAAGCAGAACCCATAATCGCAGAAACGCTGGAAATTATGCGTCAGCACAAAAACAGGACAGCAACAGGCAGTACAAATGTCAGGTTTAACAACTCACTGATAGAGTAGTCAGTGGCCGGAATCTTGATCACGTCGTCGTGCAGCAACAGATGGTGCTGGAAGAAAAAAAAAAGAAAAAAAGTCGGAACCTCATGGGATCAGGCCACATGGTAGCACTCACAGCTCAGATCTCGCAACTATGCACATTCCACACCTATGTGAACGATATATAAATCAGTGCAGCAGACGTATGAAGTACATTTTTATGAAAATGCATCCAAATTATTGTTAATAAGTACAACTTCCTCTAAGTTACGTTTATTTGTAGCAACCACGGGACTCCTACATTGGCCATGCATGTATACCTAAGTATAACAAGGAGATGTACAAAGTACATTATTCCCCAACTGTTGATGCAACGTTGCCCCAACGTTGTGAATGTTAACATCGCAACCGTTTTTTTATTGTTACGGCAAGGACCCGTGTTGCTACAGTTTTTCAATAAATGCATCTATGTGCCCTAAGCACAAGAGGGTACAGTTTCATACAATACTGCAAGTAAAGAAATTGGCTAGTTACAGTAGTACTAAGCCACAAAGAAAGCCCATGCAGACTTCTCAGAAAGAAAGAAATTTCACTTAGCACTACAAGTTACTGTAAGATAGAGGAAAATTTTTCACATTATGGTCAGTTTTACCATTAGTAAGTCCTGCTATAAAAAGTGCTCACGGCCTTCTAGATACTTCGTTTTACTTCTAGAAAAGTGCCGCAATATAGACAAGGCCAAAAGGCAGAGATCTAAGCGGGTCAGGTGCTGTAGTCATAACTTGACACGTTTATTACAATCGAGAAAAGGCGAATAGTACGTAATTGTCTGTCTTCGCGTGCATCCTCACATTATTGGTATTCACCACAATTTTTTTTTTCTCTTTGGAGACCGATTTCGCAGTCGGATTGCCAGATGAAACAGAAATGTGGATTTTATGGTTTTCCTTAAGAGAGCCTCGATGATTTCATGTGTTTTTGTCAATGTTCCTCGTAACGACGCACTCTTCAAAGAAATAGTTTAGAGCCGCATAAACCATTCACTGACAAAAATGGTGAAGATTCGTCTTCTTTTTGTGCTGGCATGACCTTTAGGTAAGGCAGACACCAGTCTGTCCCACATATTTTTTACATCGCGACAGCGGATTGTTTTATGCCCTATGAGCAGTTTATCACACGGGTCGCTTAGTTGTAAACATCATGAACTGTAACATTGCACAGCAGTGCTGAAATGCCTCATTAAATATGTCACTTCGTTAGGAGGCATTTGCTGCCAAATGCAATGCGAACATGCATGCTTAAAGGGACACTGAAGAGAAACAACGACTTGGTTTAGATTGATAAACTGCACTCTGAGAACTCCAATGCCATAAGTGTCACTGCCATAAGTTCGTTATTAGCAGAGAAAATCAAGGTCGAAGTTTCATCTCTAAATTTTGCATCGAAATCTCCACACGTGATATAACAAATTTGAATATGTACTTTTCGTAGCTTCATGACATTAGCCTGATCAAATTTTCTGGAACTTCATATGCTAGGTCTATGGCACCCACAGATGACAACATACTTCATTTTTATTGAGTGAAAGCTATGTAGGAGCCAGTGTGCGCCTTTAAAATTTACTGCATCACGGTGGCTTGGTCCGGAATCTTAAGGTGGCGTTTCCACTAGCCTTTTCTTTTTGAGCATTTTCTCGCTTGCCAAGCGTCGTGTCACAGTAAGAGTGGTGTTTCCAGTATAGTGAAATTGTGCTTTACGAAAAATCAATCACAATTTAAATTGTGCAAGAAAAATCATTACCTACAGGTCCGGATGTATGAGCGTGACCGGTGCAAGACTGCGTTCACGTCCCACAGAGGGTTATTTGAGTTCACTCGTATGCCCTTTGGTCTTTGCAATGCTCCTGCGACTTTTCAGAGACTCATGGACCGCGTCCTCGGGGAAGCAAAGTGGTCTTACTGCATGTGCTACCTCGACGACATCGTGATTTATTCAAGAACCTTCGAAGAGCACTTGGCCCACATTGCCGATGTGCTCGGGAGGGTGAGAGCCGCCGGGATGACGTTAAATCCCGCAAAGGCCCAACTAGCGCAAACCCGAGTTCAGTTACTTGGCTTCACGCTGGGCGAAGGCTCTATTGAGCCAGATCGGGAGAAACTTCGAGCAATCCTCGATTTCCCCGCGCCCAAGGACGTACACGGCCTGCGCCGCTTTCTCGGAATGGCCAATTTTTACCGGTCGTTCATTCCGTCCTGTGCCTGAGTGCAGGCGCCCTTGACCAAGCTCTTGGGTAAGTCAGCTGAGTGGCGATGGGGACCTGAGCAGCAAGAGGCGTTTCGCCGTCTGTCTAGCGCCATTGCGGAGACAGCGCAGCTCAAGCTCCCCGACCTGACCAGACCGTTTGTTGTCCAGACTGACGCAAGCGATCTGGGATTAGGAGCAGTTCTCCTACAGGAATACGATGGTGTGTTGCAGCCGCTGGCCTTTGCCAGCCGCTCGTTGATACCCGCGGAAAGGAATTATTCCGTGACCGAGAGGGAGTGTCTCGCCATCGTGCTTGCACTGCGGAAGTTTGATGTCTACCTTGATGGGACGAAATTTGTGGTGCAAACAGATCACAGCGCGCTTAGCTGGCTGATGCGGCTCCGTGAGCCTGCAGGCAGGCTAGCGCACTGGGCTCTCCTAATACAGCATTATGACTTTTCAGTGCAGTATCGGAAGGGGAGCACTAACGTGGTAGCTGACGCGCTATCTCGTGCCCCAGTGTCGACCAGGAGCCTGGATCCCGGTGCGACAACCGCTAGCGGTGCCTTTGCGCAAGCAAGCGGCGCGGGCGAAACGGCGGCGGAGCCGCCGAGTGGAGAAAAGGGTGAGTGCGGCGACGAGCAAACCCTTTCCACGGGCCAGGCAAGCAGCGCGCCGCGAAGCGGGCGAGAGGGGGAGCGAAAGGGAAGCGAACCCATAACGCCAATGCGAGCGGAGGCGATGGCTGCAGTCCTGAGTGGGAACGATACCAAGCTCCCCTTTGGGAGAATGGGAATCGCTTTCAGCAGACAAGAGTTACTGAAGGCCCAGCAAGATGATCCGTTTTGTCGCGAGTTGGGCGACGGTCTCAGGGAGACGGAGCGCCGAGACGCTGCTGGTAGTGCGGCGGGCGCAGGGGGACAGGAACCGGCGTGTGTCGCTGGGTCCCCCGCGGATACATACTTGCTGGACCATGATGGACTCCTGCTGAAATACATAGCCACCGATGAGGAGTCAGTGGACCCGTTTAAGGTGGTTGTGCCCAAAAGTCTGAGAGGCGCACTGTTGCGAGCCTCTCACGACGAGCCCATTGCCGGTTACCTTAGTGGCTCCAAAGTTTTTGCGAAACTGAGCAAGGTTGTGACTTGGCTTGGCATGAAGCGTGACATTTTTCGCTATTGCCGTTCCTGCCACATCTGTCAAACGGTGAAACCAAGGGGTGGCAAGCCGCCCGGCTTGATGAAACCGATTGTCAGTGAGCGTCCGTGGCAAGTAGCCACCTGCGATCTAATGGGGCCGTTCCCCAGGAGTAAGCAGGGGTTCATACATCTGATGGTAGTTGTGGATCATTTTTCTAAATGGGTGGAGCTGTTTCTGCTGCGGAAAGTGACAGCGCGAGCGGTGCTAGAGAGGCTACAGGAAGTGTTTTGTCGGTTCGGCTTTTCGAAAAGATTGATCACGGACAATGCGTCCTATTTCACCGCTCGGGTGTTTGGTAATACGTGCCGTTCCCTAGGAATAGATCACTGCACCACTTCGCCCTACCATCCCCAGTCCAATTTGACAGAGCGAACCAATCGTACGCTCAAACCGATGTTGGCGGCCTTTGCCGAAAGTCAAAGGGACTGGGCAGACCATTTGAGTGAATTCGCGTTTGCAATCCGAACCTCCGAGAGTCGCTCTACTGGTTTCTCTCCCGCCTTCCTTAATTTCGGAAGGGAGTTGGCAAATCCGGTGACCAGTGTCATGCAATGCCAGCTCGGAGACGAGGAAGAACCGGCAGACTGTTCTGCTTACGCTTCCACACTTCGGGACAGGCTTTGTCGCGCTCTCAGTAGAGCGAGGCAAAGTTTGGCATCGGCCAGGGCCGAGCAAAAGGCCCAGTACGACCGAAAACGTCGCCACCTTTCATTTAAGGTGGGTGACCTCGTCCTGAAGCGCAACCACGCTCTTAGCGACGCGAGCAAGGGTTTCTCAACTTCGCTCGCTCCAAAGTGGCTTGGTCCGTACCGAGTGAAGAAAGCTTGGACTCCACTCGCGTACTTGCTGAAAGACCCGCTTTCGGGAAAACTCAGCCGTGCCCATATCGCAGACCTGAAAGCCTTTGCGTCGAGGTCTGACGAGCCTGCGCCAGCGCCCAGTGGCTCTTCGCGCAAGCAACGGCGCACACCCGGCGCGGCGGACCGCATTCGGACCACGCACCGGTATAATCTGAGGAAGCGGTCACCTTAGTGATTTCGCGCCGGACGGCGGGCTTATTTCCGCAACCGAAGGCCCTCATTTTTACTTTCTAGTCTCAGTTAGCTAACTTCTTTACAGCCAGTGCTTGCAAAGAAGTCTGTTCCACCCAGTTACTGCTGCTGATTGTCATTTGAGTGTTGTTGTTTACTTGATGTTTTTTTTTTTCGCGTTTTCTTTTTTTTCTTCTCGCTGGAGGAGGGGATTGTGAATTGGTGCTTTAGCGTGGGGAGAGGGACAAATGACACTCTGCGCTTCCCTTGCGGTGCGCGTTTGGAGAGACCCGACCATCGGAGGTGTGTGTGCGTGTGTGTGTGTGTGCGCGTGTGGCGACAGCTTAGGAAGTCACCGACCCCTACACCACTTTGGACTCTGGAGGTGTTCGGAGACCTGCACGAGGCCAGCTGTCGCAGACGCTGTGCACGACTCGACCGACGCTGCAGGACGCCTCGCAGCCAATGGATTTGGCGACCATTATTCCAGCAGAAGGGCCGGCTGTCGCAGCGAGGTCCATCCGAACCTCCACCGAGGCGGCGTTCGTCGGACTCGCAGGGCTGTCGTCCACATCGACGAGACGAAGGTGAGCCCGTTCCTCGCATGAAGGCCTCAACCAGAACCCTCCCCTCGAATTCTCGCATCCACGCAGTCACCCAAGTCAAACATTACGTGACGCTGCCCCTCCGAGCCGTGAACGCGCTCTTGCGTGAGCATCATGAACTCCCGTTACCCCTCTTCCGCGGAGCCATTGTATTTGTCAAGTGTATTCTTGTGCTGTTTTATTTTTTTTCTTCAGCAGCAGTTGCAGAGCGAGGCTGAGGCTAGCTGTTGCCCATTGCATGACGCCTTTGCATGCATGGGCGACGACCGGCTGCCTTTGCAGACCGGTATATAGGGTGAATTAAGGAGAGGAGGATGTGGGGATCTGAGGCGCGCCCGCGACCATTTCACGGGCGTTCTGCCACACGGCCACACCCTTTTGCTTTCCCGCTCTGTTAACACCACGTGGCGATAGATGGCGCCACGTGCGGGCACGGCACGCGGTACGCGCGCGCCGAGGGAGCGCTCTCTTCTCCGTTGGTCGGCGCCGGGTAAGCACGTGTTTTCCTTCGTCCGCGTCCCCTTTGGGAATCGCCGGACTGTAGCCTGCCTGGGGTGGCCTTGGGCACCTCGGCAGGCGTGTTTACTTGAGTGCTAGCTTCGGTAGCGTACGCTAAGCCCACAGCGGTGCCTAGTGCTTGAAGTGGTCGTACCACAACGAGCCGCACTTGCCGTAGACGTACGCGTACGAGGTTAGCCCTAACACTCGCGACCAGGCCCATTGGCCATCGTGAGAGTGCGCAGCATAGCCGCGAGGGACCTTTTCTTGACCGGCGTGTCAAAACTCGCCATTGCCAGCTGCGATGTGCTCGCGGTTTTCCCCTTATTGTGAACGTCCGCGTGCGGGTGCCTTTGCTACCCGCGTCCCGGGAGCGGACGTTGTACTGTTGTTCGGGGTGCCGCCAGGGGCAATAAAGTGTTGTGTTTTTGCATTAGAACACTGTCTGTCTGCCGCGGCGCGCTAAACGCCTTATTAGTTGAGCGCGCGCGGAGCGGTGCGCTACACGCGAGTAAACGGAGTAGCGGCCATGTGGCTCGCTAAGCTTGAACCCGCGGTGATCGTCCGCTGCAGTTAGGAGCGGGGTCACCATACTGCCATGTGGCTCGCTAAGCTTGAACCCGCGGTGATCGTCCGCTGCAGTTAGGAGCGGGGTCACCATACTCTTTAGTGACCCTTTAACTTTGATAAAGGTAATGAACTGTTCCAAAGAATAGCTGTAAAGGGTTAGTCAACGAACGGTATATGACAGAAAAGCTTACCGATTCGTTGTCCAGTGAATGTCCGGAAGGAAGTGCTGGCACACCCCACTCGATTTCTCCCAGTTCACCCTCGAGCAGGTGGCGCCGCTGCTGCTCAATGCGCAGGTTCTCGGACAGTTCTTGCACCCGCTGTTCCAGCTCGATCCTCTCGTGTTCTAGCTCTCGCAACCTATTCCAATGGTGTTCCAATAACATTTTCTTCCTAAACTAGTACTGAGTCAGCATTGTGCAGCACTCTCTCTACTGTGCACCAGTTTCCACTCAAAGTATAAATGACCACTTACGCCAGTTTTTACAAACTAACGTTTCATACCCATAACATCGCATATCCACGAAGTGAAGGTTTGTAATTTCCCAAACAAATACAGGTGAACTTTTGCACACTCAAAGCTCTATATAATGAAACCGGATATAACGAGGTATTGGTTATAACAAAGCAAATTAAAAAAAAATCACACCATATCCACGGGGTGAATGATTATGAGTAAGACGAAGCATCTGTCCGTTCGTCCGTCTGACTGTTTGTCTGTCCACTCCTATCACACTGGAGCACACTTTGGACAGACGAATGAATGGACACTTCACCCCACTCATCATCACTCACTCCGTGGATATACTGTGAATTTCATATTATAACAGAACCATTTATTCTCTTTATTTGTAAACTATACGAAAACTACTAATGCCATCTAGTGATATTGTTTCCAAGGACATATACACAAAACGCCACCTAGTTGGCAATTCATAAACCAGAGGTGGCTACATAGATATTACATACAAACGATGGAGGAAACAACTATATATGGAGGCAACCAACATAGCGTGGCAATATTACATATAATATATATATATATATATATATATATATATATATATATATATATATATATATATATATATATATATATATACTAATGCCAAGGAATGTACAGGGGAAGTTATTAGAACCAATGGAATGTAAATAAGAAGAAAGAAAAGTGAATGAAAAAATAACCAGCCGTGAGCAGGGCTAGTTATTTTTTCATCCACTTTTCTTTCTTCTTATTTACATTCCATTGGTTCTAATAACTTCCCCTGTACATTCCTTGGCATTACTGTCTGTTAGATCTCATTAATATTGTGTTAAAACACGGAAAAACGAGCCCTTAGGTATACACTTCTTTCTTGTATATATATATATATATATATATATATATATATATATATATATATATATATATATATATATATATATATATATATATATAGTGCTAAGAATAAACTTCTAAAATGAATTTTTGCATATAACAAACTTATTTTCATTTTCCTGTAAGATGCAAATCTGTTATAATGATGTTTGAGTATATATGGCAAACCCACATATAAACAATGATTATGCCTGTCAAAGAGCTGCAAAACCCCTTGAAATATTTTCTATATGTAAAATATTTGCATGTTGAATTACCTAGAACCTTTTCATCTCCTTCAGACTCAATATATGCAGACTGGGTTAGACTGCAGCTTTGTTATAATATTATTTACTCATTAGTGAAAACTTGACAGGGCTCATTGGCAAACACACAAAGATGAGTCTGAACGGGGCAAGTAAACAAGTATGCCGGGCAACAAATACCACACAACTGCTGTTTCCCAAACATGCTAGTCCCACTGTTTCAGCCTCCGTTGTATCAGTCAATCAATCGATCAGTACAATGACCAATTCTGACTTCATTACCCAGCCCTCATAACACAATTCCGACATGTTTTACTGTGTCAATTTATCAAAACAGTTCTGTGCTCTCTTTGCAATGAAGACACATTTCACAATCACGCTACACTCAAACCACAATATAACGAAACTGGATGTAATGAAATATTCATTATAACGAAGCAAATGAAAAATTATTCTTGCAATAGATATATTGTTAGGAATAAAAATAAACCTTCATTACAAATTTTTTGGATATTTTAACTAACTTATCTTCGAGTAAAATGTAACTTTGTTATAATGAGGTATGAGTGTAATAATAAGATTAATTTTAACGTTTTTACACTTTGCAAGCTTATCTATGCATCTGTTCAGGTTTGGCCCTAACATTATCAATACCAATAAACAGCAAAACTAGCTGTAATGCTGGTTGGCCAAGAATATTAATCAGTCTACTTGTCATTATAGACAAAATAATATTATTTGAGGGGCTGCTTCAGACAGCTTCAAAGGTATTTACCACGCTTACCTATGTTGAAGGGCAGCTGCATCACCAGTAGGTTGTGGCGAGCCCTCCATCTGCACGAGAAGTGAAACGAAGATACTATAAGGACTACATGCAAAAAGGAGTGCAAACTTTACAATATTTTACTTTAAATTTTATTTGCTGCTAGATCCCAGCAGTTGAAGCGAAGAAAAATTCAGCAAATACCACGTACCTTGGCAATTGATGTTATGCGAAGCATGCAGATGCAAGATGAATGAGTTCTGATTTTTTATTGAGCGAGATATTATGAAGTGGCGCTCAATATGTGTACAATTCCTTGCACATGCATACATTAAACAGCCGCATATGTTTTATATTAGCAGTTGTTTGCAGTTACATAGTGATGCCAACAGCAACATAGATATTAGCAACACCAGAAGTGGTAAGCTGATATGAAGCGCTGGTATTTGTGCTGGGGCTCACGAGAAGGGTAGCCATGAACACTGCTACACAATTCAACCTCAGCGGATGGCACCTAACTACAATTGACAACCAAATATGATGGCTCTATCATAGGAGTACACATGTAATGTTTATAAAATTTGATAGACAGCACTGCAACCAAAATTGACGTTGCACGAATATTAGCGTCTATTTGCAAAGCATTTCCAAGACCTGGTGCGGCCCTGCGGTAGAATACTTCATTGCCACGCAGAATGCTGGGGTTTGATTCCGGCTCGGACATTTACTTTTCAGAAATCAGAAATTATTTGCATCTGCTCGGTCAATGCTGCCTATGTTAGCTTTTTCTTAACGCTCAAACATTAAAATTTCCCATGTGTTTTCTCGCCGTTTTTGGGTAGATATAAAATGTCTGTCACCTGTGGCACTGACCGACCAATCGACCGGCCATAGAGTTTCCGAAAATTAACTATAGGGGACACTGGAGCTGCAATTATTCAGCGACCATGGCAATTATGGGTATGACATGGATTTGCCTAGTCTTCATGCTTGCGGGCGGCAAACGCACTTGTCGCTTCGTTTATTTCTGTGCTTTGGTTTTGTTTTAAAAGAAAGAACGAACCGTTTTTCACTTTGTGACCCGATTTGAGGTGGTAAGCCTAAAAGATTAAGGTGGTGAAGCATAACGGCCGAACATTTGCTGAATGTTGTTTTATGACAAAGCCGCTTGAAGCCACGCAAGGCCAGAACGAACATAAAACACGAGGACTAGGCAAATGCATGTCATACCGATAAATCGCCATGCTCGCTTAAGCGCCATGCGTTGCAGCTCCCCTTAGACACTAGCGCCAGAGTTGACCTAGTGTATATTTAGGAAACTATGCGACTGACCGTCCGACCGATAGATACGCAAATAGATGGCAAAAATGCTTGCAGTATGCAAGGTAATGCATCACATTTAATAGTTTATCCATTATGCAAGGTGCTTGCTTCCCTCACTGCCCCGCCATCTAATTATCTTATAAATATTTCAATACCCTCCCGACAAATATTCTGGGTGCACCTGTTATACATAACCTCTAACACAATAGCACCACCTATACTTGTGGACAACATTGCTTGGCCATGAAGAAAAAGCTACGGGGGCAGAGAATCTGTAAATGTCCTCCCACGCAAAGTAGCCCGGTTTCAAGCATGTTTCCTACTGGTGCGGAAAGTGATCGCTGCATGGTAACAGCGTTGAATAGCATTTGCTCTGATTGCATTGATGGTCATTTGTAAGTGAGGCTCATGGCAAGTTTCTGAGGCAAATAGACCGAAGAGCGAGAAGAAGATGGACGGTCACCTGAAGACGCTGACACCAATTAGTGTTTGAGGTATTACACATTTAATGCGCAACTCTTTCACGCTTGCAAAAGTATGAAATGACAATGCATAATGTAAAAGGAATAGTAAAATCTCACTGGCATGTGCTGCGTTCTGTCTCAAAGAGCTTCCGGTAGAAAACGACACAGCTTATTCTAATCTCCACGTGGAAAGTGTGGACACAACTGTGTGACTACATTCATTCATCGTAGCATTGCTGTAATTTCGATGATTGATTGATTTGATTGATATGTGGGGCTTAACGTCCCAAAACCACCATATGATTATGAGAGACGCCGTAGTGGAGGGCTCCGGAAATTTCGACCACCTGGGGTTCTTTAACGTGCACCCAAATCTGAGCACACGGGCCTACAACATTTTCGCCTCCATCGGAAATGCAGCCGCCGCAGCCGGGATTCGATCCCGCGACCTTTGCTGTAATTTCGCTCAGTAGTATTCGCTTCAATGTAAAGAGAAGTTGTCTATGAATATAGTTCGGACCTCGGCGTACGTAAATATCAAGGTTGCAATATAAATGTCAAAGTTCAAGCTCACCTCAATTACATGGACGCCATCTCTGCTCAACGGTGGCGACTGCAAACGCAGCAGCTGTGCTTCCCGATGCCGCAAGACATCTTGTGTGTGAGCCAACAGCTGCTTGAGGCCATTCTTCTCTTCTAACACCTTGAAGAGAAGGCATGGAAAAGTTCCGACATCACTTTGTGCCAGGATACTATTCGTTCAGCAACCGGTACTTGCACTCTCCCCACCAGAACAAAACCTTCTGTGAGCACTCTAATACTTTCATCCTGATTAAATGCACAAAGGAGCTTAAAAAGAATGATTGAGACAAACAATGACTGTACACTCTCGCAGCTGACAGCACTAGCTTCAGATCCTCTAAGTTCTTGTGAGCTGTCTACTTCTATGTTGAATACCAACTACCATGATCCTACGCTATCCTAACAATGCAATCTATTTAAGAGTGAATGATAACCTACACTCATGACCTGGTATTCAAAAATGTGGCTTTTACTTGAGGACACGTTTTGACTTATTCAGTTTCAATCCAAGCCAATGCTCCAGACGAACATGCCCAAGACGGTTGCTGCATTTAGCAATTCAGTGTGTTTGCACTAGGTGTTAAAGTAGGTCCCGGCTACCACGTAAGGCAATATAGTGCAATGTACATAAAAAAGGCAATATTGGCAGCTACACTGACAGGTACAAATGCTACATAGGCATGCGAAAATATAACTATTTCCTGTGTTGGGAAATGTGACACTTTTAAAGTACCATCTGTACACAAATCTTGGTAAAGTTGGCGCCCCGCCGCGGTGGTCTAGTGGCTAAGGTACTCGGCTGCTGACCCGCAGGTCGCGGGTTCGATTCCCGGCTGCGGCGGCTGCATTTCCGATGGAGGCGGAAATGTCGAGGCCCGTGTGCTCAGATTTGGGTGCACGTTAAAGAACCCCAGGTGGTCGAAATTTCCGGAGCCCTCCACTACGGCGTCTCTCATAATCATATGGTGGTTTTGGGACGTTAAACCCCACAAATCAATCAAAGTTGGCAGCTACACCGACAAGCACAAATGAGAAGCATGCATGCGACCATACAATCATTTTCTGTGCATGTAGGAAAATGTGACACTTTTTAAAGATAAAACTATCTGTTAATCTCTATCGGCACACAAACCTTGCTAAGGTCAACCGACATCTCCTCGTTGCGAAGTCCCAGCTGGTGCAGCTGCGTCGCCGTCTGCTCCAGTTCTGTACGCAGCCTCTCCACTTCCGCATCTCGACTCTGTTCGCTCTTGCCGTTCTCAAAATCCCGGATGTAGCTTCTCCAGTTGTGCACCTGCTGTGTCAAGGCCCGGTTGTCTTTCTGTGCCTGCTCTATCTGAGTCCGCAAGTCCAGCTTGCTTTTCAGCGCCTCCTCGTGCTGAGCCCTCAACTCCGCAAGCTCACCGTTCAACTCTCGCGCTGCCTGCTTGAGGTGCTCCTCTATGTGCTTCAGCTGCTTTCGCTCCTGACTCCACCGGCCCTCCTTGGCCTGAGACTGTTCCACCAGGGCAGCATGCCTCTGGTTGAGTTCATCCAGCTGTGTCTGCAGACGACGAACTTCTTCGGACGTGGCCTGGTCCTTTGCGGCCCTCAGTTCCTCAATTGTCCGGTGAGCCTCCTCGAGTTTGACCTTGATTGAGAGTGACTCCTGGCTCGCAGACTGGACAAGCCGCTCCTCAGCTTTCAGTTGTGAACTCTTGAGCTGGTGGAACCGTTCCTGGAGCTGATGGTGCTCCTGCCTAAGCAGATCCAGCTCCTGGAAGGTCTTGTGTCCAGCGGAACCTTGCTTCTCCATTAGTGCGAGCGCTTGGTTTGCCGCTGAGCAGTCTTCGACCAGTTGTGTGCACTTGGCCTCCAGCTTCTTCTTCTCTTCGACGACAACATGGAATTCCTCCTCGAGGTCGCGGTGCCTGTACAGGATCTGGTTGTATTTCTCCTGAATTTGGGAGAAGTCCCGCTTTAGGGTAGCAGCCGCGTCGCTGCTTTTCTCCTCCTCGAGCTGCTTTTGGTACCTGTTCTCGAGGTCCTTGATGACCTTGGCATGCTGCTCGTGCTGAGCCTTCAGCTCCTGCTCTAAGTTCTGCCTGGCTCGCTTCAGGTTCTCGACGAGGTTCTGGAAGGCCTCATTGTCACTAGCCAGCATGTCGGCCTGCTCCTTCAGGCTCGCCAGTTCCGACTTCAGGTGCCGAGACTCGATCTCCAGCCTGTCGTTCTGGTCGAGCAGCTCACCCATTTTGTCGCGCAGGTTGCTGCACTCGGCCTCAGCCTCCCTAGCCCTGGCTGTGGCCTGATCCAAACTCAGAGCGAGAGATTCAGCGTGCTCGCCTTGCGCGAGCGACTTCTGCAGGTCTTCCTGCAGTGAGCAGCATTGCCGTTCGAGCTGACCCACTTCATCCGATTTCCTCTGCAAGGTGTGCTCGAGCTCAGCATGTGACTCTCGCAGTGCGTTCAGCTGTTTGGCAAGTGTGTCATTCTTGTCCTTGAACAACTTCAACTTCACCAGCATCTTCTCAGACTTTTGCTTGGTGGCAGCAAGCTCGGAGCTAAGCCTGTCGCCATCACCCATGTTCTGGACTGGAGGCTGCACTTTCAATGCCGCATTCTCTTCCCTCAGTAGGGCTATCTCAGCCAGGAGCTCCTCTTTTTCCAACAAACACTCTTCTTGACCCTTTTCTTTTGCAAGGTCGTCATCAACATCTGTTTGAAGTGACTTGTCCGATTTCAAGGACTCGCTACTGGCATCGGTTTGCAATAACTTGTCCATTCTCGTAATATCTGTGACATTGTCCCCTGCGAGGCCTTTCTTTTCAAACACCTCCAGCAGTTCCTGGTATCTGAGCTGCCAGTGCTCATTTTCAGTCGCCGATACCTGTAATCTCGCATTCATCTCTTCGTAGGACAGCTTCAAGTTCTCCGCCTCTTTCAAAAGTGTGCTGTTAGCATTCTTGAGGGAGCGAACATGTTCACTGACTGCTCGCAACAATGCTTGCAGGTCTTTTGAATCTTCAGCAATCTTTAGCTCCTCTTCCAACCTATCTGAATCCGCAATGTCTTGCGTAATCATAGCCAAAACCCCACTTAGTCCTTTCAGCACTTGAGACACCTGCTCCTGAAGAGACTGTTCACTCTCATGAAGAGAACAAAGTTGCTGGTCCTTTTCTGCAAGCGAAGATTCAAGCGCCTCTCTCCTTTTCCTGACACTCTCGAGAAGCCACTTGAGATATTCGAAAGCACTGAATTCAGCGCCCATGAAAGTCATGTCCCCCGGGGGGCGCTCGCCACATTCCTGAAGAAGCACGTCCTGCAGTATACTGTACTCGGCAGAAAACTTCTCAAGCTGAAGCTGAGATGTCTGGAGCTTGCTCTGTAGTGCATCAGCTTCTTCCACCTTGGAGTCTACAATTTCAAGCTGCTTGGTAAGGTCTCCGCTCAGAGACTCCAGCTGACCTTGCAGAAGTCCAAATTCTTCACTCTTCTTTCGCGAAAAGTCTGCGTGTTCTGAATGCAGCTGCTGAATGAGCTCAGTGGCTGCGTCCAGCTCGTTTTGCAGTACTCGTTCGCGGCTCAGGCTCACGTTGAGGGCATCCTCGTGCTCCACAGATAACCGCTCAAGCTCAGCCTTGGACGACTGAAGTTCTGATCGAAGGTGCTCGGTGTCTTGAGAAATGTTGGCCTTGAGGACTTCATTTTCTGCTGACAATGCCTTGAGGGCTTCGCTTGCAAACTCCAGCTGCTTCTTCAGCTCCTCGACCTCTCTTTCCCGCGAACCTGCTGCCGGACTTTGTAGCCTCAACTCTCCAACTTCTACTCGGAGGTTGTACACCTCAGCATTAGCCTCCTGCAACTCTCTGGACAGGCTCTCGTTTTTCTCTATTTCAAGATCTAAATGTTCCTTCAGGCTACGAAGTTCTGATGAAAACTGCACTCTCTCCATGTCCCTCTGCTTAAGTTCCTCCGCAAGCGTCTTCAGATTGGTTCTTTCATTGGCTAGAGCCTCTGTCAGCTGTTCTAGTTCCTTCTGTAAACAGCTGTTCTGTTCTTTCAGGCTTTGCACTTCTTTTGTCCTGTCTTCAAGTATTTTCACCTTCAGCCTCAGCTCTCCTCTCGACTTCTTGAATGCGAGCTTAAGCTTCTTCAACTCTGTTTCAAGGGTCTGTCTGCTTTCATCTTCATGAGCTTCCGAAGTTGGTTCTTCCGTCGCACTACCAACATGCCTTGCTTCCTCGTGCTTCACTCTCAGCTGCCTCTGTGCCTCTTCCAATTTATTCTTCACAGAGTCAAGGTCTTCAGTGAGTCTTTGAATGTCCTGTTCCTTGCAATGAGCCGACTCCCGGGCTATTTGAACATCCATCCTGGCTGCATCGAGTTCTTGTCGCAAAGCTTCAACATCCACTTCAGCTGTGTAGAGAAGCTGGGCCTCTTTTGGAACTATCGTTTCTTCCACTACTGGAACCTTTGCTGGCGTGTCAGCTTGATCATGCTGCATAGCTAAATCCTGCTTCGAGATTTGAAACTGTTCCTTCATCTTTGTTAACTCCTCAACAACCTCTTGATATTGCTTTTCGAAGACAACCAGACGATCTATCTCCCCCCGGAGTAGCTCGATCTGCACTACAAGGCTAGTCTCTTCGTCGTAATGCCTCTTGCATGTTTCTCGGACTTCATTCGAGGCTTGCTCGACCTTTTCTTTGAGAGTACTGTTCTCCTGGCGCAGTTCACTCAGCCTGGCTTCCAGCTCTCGGATCTGCTCTTTGTACTCACCAACCTTAGCCACATTGGCTGACATCTCGGCTTCAACCTTGGAGTTAGTGTCTGCAAGCTCCCTCATCTGCTGGTCATGGTTCTGCACAAGATTCTGTATCTCGGCTGAGAACGTGGCAATCTGCTCCTTGGCCCGGGTGTTCTCTAAACGCAGCTCTTCCAAGCGTTCACATAGGCTGAACACCTCGCTCTCTTTATCCGCAAGCTTTTCGGTGAGACTTGAGCACTCTGCTCTGGCACTGGACTCAGCCTCAAGCAGTTCCCCTAGCTGCTGATCGTGAATCGCCACAAGGTTTTCTATCTCCCCCGACAGCATGACCAACTGCTCCTTCTTTTTGTCGTGCTCAACATTTAGCCTTTCTTGTTCAGCTTTTAACTCAGCTATTTGGTTATCCTTTTCTAAAAGTTCCAACAAGGCCTTTGCACTGCTTTCCATTTCCACCTTGTGCTGTTCAATCATACTTTCTCGCTGCGCTTGCAGCTTTTCAACCTCGGCTTTCAGCGAAGCGACCATCTCGTCGGATTTGTGCAAATCGTTTTCGGCTGCCTTCAACTTGCCATTAAGCTCCTCCAGTGCATTGCTCGAGGCCTGCTTCTCAAGCTGCAGCTTTTCAACTTCCTTCAGCAATGATTCCTCTGTGTCAGTGGATGTGTTCAACTTTTCCTCCAATTCGCTGATTATCTTACTCTGCTCGTCCAACTGGGGCAGGAGAAAGCCCGCTTCTGACTTTGCCGTCTCCAGTTCGGACCTGAAGGTTGCCTGCACCATCTCCTCACTGGCCAGTTTTTCTCGGAGGCTGGAGACACAGCCATCAGCTTCCTCTACCCGTCGAGATAACTCAGTGCTGCTTTCCACCAGCTTGCTGTTGGCCTCCTGCAACTCGGATATAATGCGAGATTTCTCGTCGAGGCCGTTCTCGAGCAACGTCAAGTTCTCCGCCATCTTTTGTAAACTCTGCTCCTTCACTTCAATATCTTTTGATGCCTCATCGAGTCTGGTGGACAGTGCTTGAACTTGGCCAACGAGATCTTTGTTGGCTGCCTCTAGGGAATGAATGTCCTGTGCAGACACTTCAAGAGAGGTTTTGAGGTTCGAAACGAGAGCGTCTCGCTCCTGCAATGCAGCTTTTGCCAAGGAAAGTTCGCCTGTTTTCTGCTGGAGATCCCGCGAAAGCTCCGACACTTTGACCACCAAGTCCGACTGCTGAGACTCTGCATTCTGCCTCAGCGAGTCCAGCTCTGCATCCTTTGAGCTTAGGGCAACTTTCATCTGTGCTAGCTCATTTGCCTTTGCGGTGACAGATTCCTTCAAGCTCTCCACATGTTCAAGCAGCCGTAACTTCTCCCGAGATTCTTTCTCGACCAATTCTTCGGTTTCATTCACTTTTTCACGCAAACTTGCAATTTCCTTCAGGAGCCGGCCATTAAGCTCCTTACTACTGCTGTTGAGCTGCTGCGATTCCTGCAACTGCTTCTGTGCTGATGTGAGAGCCTTGTGGGTCTCCTCGAGCTCCGCTGTCGTCTGACTCAGCAAGTTCTTAGAATCATCACACGACTTCTTGAGTTCACTTAGCTGCTGTTGAAACTGTTCTTTTTCAGCGTTGTGGAGCGCCACTTGGTTCGCAAGTTCCGCAGTGATTTGATAGCACTTCTCGTTAAGCCCATTGCTGCACTGAGTTGTCTCGTTGAGTTGTTCCTGAAGACGAGAGAGTTTTTGAGACAGTTCCTCATTTTCACTGTTCTTCAATGCAAGTGCCTCGTTGAATTGTTGCAGCTGGTTGCTGAGCTCATTTTTTTCCTTCTGGGCTTTTTCGAGAAATTCCTGAAGTTCTGCACCTTTGCTTTGACAGTTCAACTCAGTGTTCAACAGCTGCTGCTGCAGGTCTTCAACCTTCTGAGAAAGACTAGCTCGCTCGTTTTCGAGTTTGTGCAACTCCGCATTTGCCAACTGGGCTTTTTCTTCAGCCTCCGAGAGTCGTCGGCAGATGTTTGTTTTCTCGTTTTCGACGTGTGCAAGCTGTTCTTCGAGCGCGACAGACTGGTTCTCGATATTGGCCTTCAAGGAAAGAGCGGTCTCAAGCTCCTGCCGTACACTTTTCAACAAGGACTCAGCTTCGAGGCATGACCTCTCAAGGTCTGTTTTCTCTGAAATGGCAGCTTCGAGTTTCTGCTGCATGTTTTTCATGGCTGATTCGGCTTCTTTGTACTTAGAACTGGTTGCCTCGACTTTCTTCTGCATCTTCTTGAGCTTGTTATCCAAGGACTTGTTCTCGGCTTTCACTTGCTCAAGAGTGCTAGCGGAGCTGGTGAACTCAGCATGAAGTGCCGACATCTCGCTTTCCTTAACTTGCAATCTTTCGTGAAGTGATGCAGTTTCTCTAGTAGTTTGCGACAACAGTTCTTCGCTGGTTCTGAGTTGCTGTTGAAGTTCTTGGAGCGCTTCTTTAAGACTTGATTCCTGGCAAGCAAAGTTTTGCACACTTTTCTCTAGCTCCTTTTCCCTCAAGGCAAGGCTCTCAGTCAAATGCAGCATTGAGTGTTCTTTTTCTTCAACCTGTAACTGTAGAGCAGACGCTTCCCTCTCGAGGTCAGTGCACTGTTCCAGTAGAGTCGCGACCTTCGATTCGGTCTTGCAACGCTCTGCATCGAGACAAGACTGGAGTTCTTCAACCTTACGGAGGGCTTCAGACAGTGCCGACTCTCTTTCAGCCACAACTGCACTAGACTCCTCGTTTAAGATCCTCAGTTTGTTGATTTCCGCAGCAAGCACCGAAGCTTGTTGCTCTCCTGCGTCGACAGCTTGTTGAAGCTCAGCTTTCTCGTCGACGAGTTGCTTGATTCGGTTGTTCAGTTCTTCTTTGTCCAGCTTCTGTGACTGCGACAGAAGGTCGAGGTTCTCGTGCAGAGCACCCCACTTCGACTTCAACTCTTCAACAGATGATACAGAAAGGGATTCTAGGCACGTGTTCACAGTGGCCAGCTGCACCTTCAAAGCGTCGGCCTCCCTCAGAGCACTTTCTAGCTCCTCGACCTTCGATGTCAGCTGCTCACTCCGTGTAACAGCTTCGCTTAGCTCCTGACGGCACCTGCTAAGGGTTTCTTCTTTTTCCGAAATGCAGCGGTCCCATGTGGCCTTTACTTCACCCAAGCTCGATGCACCAATGTACGAAAGCAAATCTTCGATTGAGACGTTTGTTTCCTCATAGCTCCTTCTAAGTGTTTCATGTTCAACTCTAAGCTGACTTTCACGAGAAGTAATTTCATCAATTTCATGCTGCTTTGCTTCCAGTCGCTCTCGCATACTTTTTAACTCTACTTCTAACCTCTCAATGTCACCTGATTGAGCTTTCAGCGCGTCAATGCTATTTGCCTGCACATTGCCAAGCTCCTCAAGTTTTCTAACTTGAAGTTCAAGCTCTGCTTGCATAGTTTTTGAAGCTTGGTTTGCTTCGTCCCTCGCAAGCTGAGTGGCTTGCAGATCTTCAAGAGCTTTCTGGAGACTTGTAGATTCCCTCTCTAATGCTTCTCTCAACCGATCAATCTCCGCCATATTTGCCGATGACTGCGCCAACAGCTCCTTGCGGGCCTCATCGTCTTCTCGTGCTTGTAATGCACTCGCATCAAGCTTTTCTTGAGTGTCATTCAAAGCTGCCTCGAGTTCCTCTATCCGAGCCAACTTCGTAGCCACTTCGGACTGCTCTCGTTCCCAAACCTTGGTCATGTTTTCGAGTTCCCGGGATTTTTCTTCAATTTCGTGTCTCGCTTCCTGAAGGCTCCCGTCTAGCTCATCCGCTCGCGTGGTTGCAGACGTAAGCTGCTCCTCCACGAAGCGAAGCTTCTGCCTTAGGTCTGCGATAGTCGATGAGTCCTCCTCGCGCTGCACGATCAACTTTTTCACCTCTTCCTCGAGAGCAACCTTCAACTCTTGCTGGAGTACAGGCGTGGCACTTTCGTCGGCCGCCTTGAGAGCCTCCAGTTCCTGCTGCAACTCTCTCATCTTTTGTTCTTCGACTGCAAACAAAAAAACGGATCAAGGGAATCTTTCATAAAAACAATTGTCATCTGTGCAAGACACACCAAAAATTCAAGAGAGCCCCTCCATTACCCTTTGGAGAAGAGACCGCTGTGCCTCTTCATGTCCTCTTTCACCACTCCAAAACATGTGCAATCAAGTCAAACTGTGGCCGTTTTCTGCAGCCAGCCCAAGTTTATGATAACATCATTTCGGCAACAGCTAGCTTCATAACGTATAAAAGACAACCTTGAGTTGTTGTTTTTTTTTTTCCTGGTAAATATTGGGCAACTTCTAATGATGCCTAGTGTTACTTTAAACAAAAAGATCGGGACCCAAGAAATGTGACCTTTCTCGGCAACATTTAAGAACGAACAAAGCAGCACTGAGGCAAAAAACTTTTTAGAAAATTTTTCACTTTTAAAGCGAAATATGCGAGTTCAAATATCTAATAGGTTTGATGCTTTTATGTGCACGAAGCCTGGGTTAGTGCTTCTATGCCTTCAAAAATTCTAGGCAGTAGCAACTTCACTTGTACATGTACGTGCCTCCATTGGGTTGAGATGAAGTGAATACAGAGACGCAGTTAAAACGGTGGATAGATAACATTAGCCAATGCTTGACATCATGTAGTCAACATATGGCAAAACTAACCGAGATTAGCCAATAGTAGACCAATACTAGTGAAAATTAACAGTAATTTAGCCTTGTCTAACTATTACTAGCCAGAATTTGAACTATATTAGTCAACACTCGCTCGCTATAATTTTGAAAACTGGCCCACATAAGCATAATGCTAAGGAAAGCTTGCAGTATGGAAGCAAATACAGCAAGCCAACACACTAACACTCACCAGAGTAGCCCTGTGAAGAACAAGATGTGCCTGTAGCAAGCAGCATCGCCAACGCCCGGCTCTCTGGGCTCGTGCTTCGGTTCGTTGCTGTGCTGATCGCTGGACGGTTCTTCACGCTGTCTTGTCGCTGTCTTTAACGGCTAATAAACCTCTTCACATTTGGTGGAAGGTGCTGTTAATCCCCGTTGCTACACCCTGGAGCAGCGAAGCCGCACGCTACCGCCTGCCATGACTGACAACGCCACTACATCGGCACCTTCGCCCCAGTTCAACTGCCCTGGCCATCCTAGGCTACAGGACCCGAAGGTCTTCAGCGGTGCGGATGGGACCGACGTCGAACACTGGCTCGAGCATTACGAAGTAATGAGCGCCAACAATAAGTGGGATGAAGCCGACAAGCTGGGCCACGTCATATTTTATCTCACTGGCGTCGCCGATTTGTGGTTTAACAACCACAAACACAACATCCCTACATGAAGCGTCTTCAACGCGTCATGTGCTGAAGTGTTCGGTCAGCCGGCTGTCCGCAAGCAGCGGGCAGAACAGCGCTTGCGCGTCCGCTCTCAGCAGACTGGCGAGACCTTTGTCGACATGCGAATGACACCATGCCCGAATCTGACAAGGTCATACACATCATGAAGGCCATCGACGACGGCGCATTTCAAATGCTCTTGGCAAGAAATCCGAGCACAGTTTCCGAAGTCGTTAGCTTGTGTCAGAGCTACGACGAGTTGAAGAAGCAACGCACTCTGACTCGGCAGCCTCAGCATGGTGGTGAGTCACTGTCCAGTTTCGACACCCTGCCTGACAATTCACCGTTGCTTCAGCAAGTTCGAGCCTTTGTCCGTGAGGAAGTCGCCCGCCAACTTTCCCTAGTGCCCTTCACGCACGAGACCACCACCCGTCTTTCTGCCCCGCTTCGCACAGCTATTTCGGAAGAGCCTACCCAAGCTGTTCCTCTTGCGCACCACGAGCCGCCTCTATCCAGCTGTGTTCACTGCCAGCGTGTCGCGCAGCCGGTAGGCCCTCCTGTCGCCTATCCGCCAGCCATGCAGCCTGTGGCCGCACCCCTAACGTATGCAGCGCAGCCTGTGGCTCCTCCTGTCGCCTGTTCGCAAGAGATGCAGCCTGTAGCAGCGGCGTTCACATATGCAGACGTTGTGCGAAGGCTTCCGCAACCACCCTACACCTCGCGCTAACAGCGCGCACACCCAGCTGTTTATACTGCACCTTGGGCGGCACCACCAGTCGCCAATCCTTGGAGGACGCCCAATAACCGACCGATATGATACGCCTGCTTCACTCCCGGACACGTTGCCCACTACTGCCGGCGTCGACCTCAGATGTTCGGCGACTATGTCCGATCGTCGCAACCCGGCAGCCAACCCTTCGCGCAATACGGGCCGGTCTCGTCACCTCGCTATGCCCCTCTTAACGACCCCGACTTCGTGACGCCGCGCGCACCCTCTCCTCGTCGGCGATCGCCCTCCCCCATGCGTCGCCGGCCCAGACCTTCTGACCAGAAAAACTAAGCACCGCAGTTCAAGAGGCAAGAACTGCGCCATTTTCAAACTGTCTAAGCCCTCGCCTCTGTGGTCGCAATAACTGTTGAAGGTTATTGTACTTTCGCCCTTGTGGACACCGGCGCCACTGTTTCTGTTATTGCCGCTAATGTCTGCCGTGTATTACATAAAGTCACGACGCCGCTTTCGGGACTTCCTATCCTGTTCCTATCCTGTTTCTGGACTTCCTATCCCGCCTTAATACCGTCATCGACTGCGCACGCGCTGAAGTTGAGTTTTCACCCTTTTGTGATGTCCCACTACTTGACGCTTCTCATCAGCCGCCGAAGTTGTTCGTGCATGAAGATACCGATATTCCACCTGAAAATTTCGCACTTGTTCCAGTTTCATGCAACGCCCACACTGACGCTAAAGTCTTTTTTATGCCTTCCAATATCTTCACGAGTCGTCGAGCTCTGCCGCTGCCTTTCGCAACGATTGACCTTGCCGCCGGAAGAAGCAATATGTTCATACTCAACCCTCTTTCCACACCTGTCACTTTGCTCGTGGGGGGGAATGTCTCAGCCGCGTGCAGGATCTCGACCCTTCGTCTTTGGTTGATGTCCCAGATGACTACTGCGACCACCCGAAATCACTGTTGGCCCTTGAGGAGTCGTCCAAGGATACGTTTTCCAGCACCATCGCCGACACCTTCACTCCCACCAAACATGCCGACCTGCTTGATCTTCTGCATGAGTTCCGGAATTCTTTCGATGTGTCGCAACCTCAACTAGGCCGCACGTCGCAAGTCAAGCATCACGTTGACACCGGACTACACCAGCCACTGCGTCAAAGACCATACCGTGTCTCCACTGAGAAGCGCCGCGTCATCAACTATCAAATCGAAGATATGCTGCGTAGAGACGTCATTCGACCATCTCACAGTCACTGGGCGTCTCCTGTCATCCTGGTGCGTAAGAAAGACGAATCTATCCGATTTTGCGTGGACAATCGTCGTTTGAATAAGATAACCCGCAAGGACGTATATCCTTTGCCGCGCATTGATGACGCCATTGACACCCTTCACGGAGCGGAATTCTTCTAGTCACTAGATTTGCGGTCTGGCTACTGGCAAGTTTCAATGGCTGAAGCCGATCGCCAAAAAACTGCATTTATTACACCTGACGGACTATACGAGTTTAACGTCATGCCCTTTGGTCTTTGTAACGCGCCCGCGACGTTTGAACGACTTATGGATAATACGCTACGTGGCCTCAAGTGGAATATGTGCCTCTGCTACCTCGACGATGTCGTGGTTTTCTCGCACGACTTTACTACGCTCCTCCTTTGCCTCAGGCAGGTTTTGACTTGTCTGACCAACGCTGGCCTGCAGCTTAACCTGAAAAAATGACGCTTCGCTGCATGCGAGCTCGTCATCCTCGGCCACATCCTGTCGAAGCACGGCGTACTACCTGACCCAGCAAAACTTCGAGCAGTCGCAAAATTTCCCAAGCCGACGACCATGAAGGAACTTCGCAGTTATGTAGGCCTATGCTCTTATTTCCGGCGCTTTGTTCGCAATTTTGCATCCATCATGTCAACATTAACCCAGCTTCTTCACGGTGACGTGAACCTCTCCTCCTGGTCCCCTGCATGTGACGTTGCCTTCACTACTCTGCGCCGTCTGCTCACCTCCCCACCTTTTCTTCGCCACTTCGACCCGACGTAGGCACACAGACGCCAGCGGCGTCGGGCTAGGCGCTGTCCTCGCTCAACGAAAGCCCGGCTATTCACAACACGTTGTAGCCTATGCTAGCCGCACTCTGACGAAAGCCGAAACTAATTACAGCGTGACAGAAAAAAAGTGTTTGGCTCTGGTGTGGGCGCTTGGAAAGTTCCGGCCGTACTTATACGGCCGCCCGTTCGATCTAGTAACTGATCACCACGCGCTTTGCTGGCTCTCCACGCTGAAAGACCCTTCTGGCCGCCTTGCGCGATGGCACTCCGCATCCAGGAGTACGACATTCGCGTCGTATACCGCTGCGGACGCAAGCACTCTGACGCTGATGCCCTGTCCCGCTCACCTTTACCACCAGATACGACGTGCGGAAACACTCGCCTCGAGATATTGTCATCGCTAAATCTCGACTCAATTGCCACCGAACAACGTCGTGAACCGTGGATCGAATCTCTTCTCGAATATCTATCCGGTACGCCCAACCTTCCGGTATCTCGATCCCTCCGACGCCAAGCTTTCCATTTTGTCATCCGCGATCAACTTCTTCATCGACGCAACTACGCTCCTGATTGCCGCCGGTGGCTACTGGTCATTCCACGCACTTTACGATCGCAGGTATGGGCCTCTCTTCACGACGATCCACAATGTGGCCACGCCGGGGTGTTCAAAACATATGAACGCCTTCGCAATCGCTATTACTGGCGCGGCATGTACAATTTTGTACGCAAATTTGTACAGTGCTGTCCTGACTGCCAGCAACGCAAATCAACACCCCAACGTGCGACTGGCGAATTGCAGCCACTTCCGTGCCCTGCCAAGCCATTTGATCGTGTTGGCGTTGACCTCTACGGCCCCCTTCCATTGACACCAGATGGCAATCGGTGGATTATAGTGGCGGTCGACCACCTAACACGCTACGCCGAAACAGGCGCTTTACCGAGTGCTACCGCTCAGGATGTCGCCTCTTTCATTTTACGTCGTTTCATCCTTCGACATGGCGCACCTCGAGAGCTCCTTAGTGACAGGTTTATTAGCTGTTAAAGACAGCGACGAGACAGCGTGAAGAACCGTCCAGCGATCAGCACAGCAACGAACCGAAGCACGAGCCCAGAGAGCCGGGCGTTGGCGATGCTGCTTGCTGCAGGCACATCTTCTTCACAGCCCATAGTAGACCAACGCTAGCAAAAATTAGCAATAGTTTAGCCATGTTTAACCAATGCTAGCTAGCATTTAGACTATATTAGTCAACACTGGCTATAACTTTGAAAACTAGCCCACGTGAGCCCGATGCTAACGAACGCTGGTAGTATACAAGCAAATACAGCAAGTCAAGACACCAACACTCATTCACCATATACAAAACTCGACGGTTAATAGTAATGGTACATTCGACTGTACGTCACGGCACTCTGGCTCAGATTACAAAAACGTGGAGTTCTGATCTTGGTCCGAGCCACCAAAAAAAAAAAAAAAAATCCGAGCTACACATGCAGGCGCTCTTTAGAGCAATCTAAAGTTAAAAGAGGAAGCATGCTATTGCGCCTTCTGTTGCAAACAGACGAGGCACGTGAGTCACGTGATCAGACGTGTGTCGCACTCCGAGGCCAAAGTGAGAGTGCCCCACAGAACTCCGAATTGGAGCATGGTGCTCTCAAAGAACCAGCCAAACTTATTCAGAGCACTTGATTATTACCAGATCACCGTGACGCACGTAGCCAGAGTGCTCGAAAAAATGACCAGTCAACATCCCCATTAGATATGCTCTTACGCACAAGATACTTTCGAAGGCTCTTGCATCTTGCTCTCCCATCGGTGAAACTGGTAGCTTATCAAACATGCGTACGGCCCAAGTTAGAATACGCATGCTCTGCATGGGACCCACATCAACTAACCTTATTGAAGCGCTTGAAGCATTACAAAACTGCAAAGCTTGCTACATCTATTCAGATTGTTCTTTTTACAGTAGTGTTACAAAACTAAAATCAGAAGCACACCTTGATAACTTGGAACTAAGACGCCTCAGCTCTAGGCTGTGCCCTTTTCACAAGTTTTATCATTCCTGCCGTAGCGCTTCATTGATCCTGCCTGCTCATCATACTCCCTGCCGCACGAATCGCACCACAGCAGTCTACCCACCACCAGCACAGACCGCTGCACATCTACGCTCCTTTATTTTTGTTACCACAGCAAGAAACTGCAACCATCCACCCAGAGATGCTGTGCTCCAAACCAACCAGGAAGCCTTCAAGCTGTTCAAATAAATGTGAGTCAATACTCGTAAATAAAAATAATGTAAATTGTACTTAGTGCAAAAAAAAGAATTTAGGCTGACCTGAAAGAGAGGAGAAAATTCGTACTCACGTTCTTTTTGTTCTTCAACCTGTGCAGCCTGAACCTCGAGCGATATCTTCTCTTCTCGCGCTGCCTTCACCTGGCCCTTCAACTCCTCAATGACCCTGTCCTTGGCAGCCATCTCCTCCAACTTCGCGGCTGCACAGAACAGGACATGAACAGGGAGGGCATTGCGCTACCGCAGTCCTACTTCTTTTGCTTAGAGGGTACTGAAGGGTTTTTTAGACTTCCTACAAACAGCATTAAACAAAGTTCTGGGACCTCAAGAGCCATATGAAACTAATTGTCAAGCCTCATTGTACCAGGGTAATTTACTATAACAGCTCTTCTATGACAGTTTTGATTTCACTTATGAGAGGACACTATATCATGACATTGTCCATCAGATAGCGATCACATGGTAATACAGTGGGATCCCGTTGATACATTTTTCACGTATTACCCAAAATTGTATTAACCAAGGAGGAGCAAAATAGGCGTACTTCGTAAATAACTCATTTTTATTGAGCAAAACTAAAGTAGCCAGTCAATTTATGCAGCCCTTTTTTATTTTCAATGTCTAGGAGTAAATTATTTGACAAAATAAAAAATTGCCAAAGAATCATTGCACGCACAGGTATTGCCTCTCGGGGACTTTTTTGACACAGCACCAACGCTGCTTCAACATTAGCGAATGTGCAATGTACAGATTTGGGCTTGTTGGAACGCAGCTTGAGCAAGAATGCAGAAGAATAACAAGATTTCTTGACATATAAGTCAAGATCCACTCTCAAAATCAAGTTATTTTATCTCGAAAAAAAAAAAAAATGTGATCATAACGCGTGAAAACGCATTATTTTCAAGAGACGTAGGCCGGGAAAACAACAAAAACATACTAGGCCATAAAAAATACTATGCAGAATCGTATCGACAAGATTCCACTGTCGTACACTGCGAATATCTCAGCAAAATAGCACAGAGAAAAACCCACTTGTTGAAACCCTGCTTCCTGCCCAATACTTTTCCGGTTGGGCCAATGCTGTCGATCTTCAGAATACAAAGAGTAGGGAGCTTTGCTTGATTACCATAAAGTACCTCGGAAGCACCCACCCCATTTTCACTGAAGATCATGTTAACCTGGATATGGGAGCTTGTTCAGTCAAAGCGACCATAGAGTTTTCCTAAATTAACTAGAGGGAACTGCGACCGTTCAGCGGCCATGGGAATGATGGGTAGTAGACAAATCTGCCTAGTCTTCGAACGTGCTAGTGGTGTTGTTTATTGCTATGTTTTTTGTTTTGTTTTGAATAAAAGAATGAGCTATTCTGAACTTCATGACCGGGTTGGAATTGATGAACCTAAAAGATTGAGGTGGTGAAATTTATCGATTGTCATTTCGTGACAAAAGGACTCTAAGCCATGTGAAGCCAAGCAAAGCCGCAAGTACGAAGATTAGACAAACTTGTGTACTACCCATCATTCCCATGTTCGCTGAAGCGCCGTGTGTTGTAGCTCTCATAGACACTAGTGCCAGAGTTCCCTCTAGTGCATTTATGGGAAACTGTATGGAAGCATACAAGAACTGAAATGGCGGCACATGAAAATCTTTGCGGCAGTGCTACGGTTCCAGACCCATGGTGCCACTTGACAACTTCCATCTTGCTGGCAATGTGTGGCTAGCATATTGCTTTTAGCTGTCTCACAAAGGTTGCATTGAGGTGAATATTTTAGCTTAAGCTGGAACTTTAGAAGGCCGCACTCAAGAGGAGACACTGCTCTTTTTTACTCGATCGATTCTGACAAAATTTGCAGGTATTTGTGTAGCAATTTCAAACACGTAATCACTTTATTGTACAATACGTAGTCTTAATATACCAGTAATTCAATGCATTTTTTTTTTGTGAGCCAACTTCTTCCTAAACTGAAACCATAACAAAGTAAATCAGCATATCACAGTACTTCGGAATGAAAACTTCATGCAGCAGAACAAGAATGAATACTCTAAGCTCATTTGTACAAAAGTTACCCCACGTTGAACATTCACATGTGAGCCAAGAATGTTCAACATACCACGACTTTTGCTCAAATGGACATAAAATAAGCATTCGTGTTATACTGCATGCACTTTCAATTCTAGATTATTATGATAAGCTGACTTAACTTAAAGTGTATAAGTTAAAAAGGACAAAAAAAAAAACCTTGCTTCTAACAAGGTACAAGGAGTGTTAAACATTGTAAAAACTACACATTGTACGCTCAAGGCTCATTACAACAAAGTTGCATCTTACACAAAAATAAATTATATCTGAAAATTAGTTATAAAGGTATATTGTTAACACTTGATCTATTTCAAGACTATCTTACATTTATTTCGTTATAACCAATATTTTGTTATATCCGGGTTCCTTATATCAAGGCTTGAGTTAGCAAAATAATTGCACATTTGAAATCAGCCCACGAATATACATGAACACGAAAAGTTTTATTAAAACAGGCCATGAATATTAAAAAAAAAAAGGATTTTCAAGTGATGTGTCGCCCTTTACATATAATTTTCAGAATCGTCAAGAATGCTAATACTGGATGCTTTGTGTGAAACTGGGTGCTTCCGTAGTACTTTAATGTAAAATTAAGGTTGTTGAAAATGTTTTCGGTGCGTTTTGTAAAATTCCGCTCTGCCGAGTGCCCTGTGCGATGGAGATGGAAACGCCCCGCGAGTGAAAACCAATGAGCCAATGTGGTGGGGGTGGTGGAGAGCACGAAAATAAAAAAAAGAACCTTGCAACGAGAGAGCGTCTTCCATCTCCAGGGCTTTGAGTTGAAGCCCACCTTTCTCCTCCTCAAGCTCTGCAATGCGATGCTGTAGCGTCGTGACGTCCGATGGTGCAGCCTCCGAGCTTGCCTGCAAGAGAAAGACAAAATTTCCCACTCAAGCACTCTGTACAGACCTATAAAGGGACATTAAAGGCAAATATTAAGTTGATGTTGATTGCTGAAATAATGGTCCATGTTGATTGCTGAAATAATGGTCCAGAAACCTTGTAGTGTTACTCTTTGTGCCAAGGAAGTGGTTATTTTGAAATAAAATCACATTTTAGCGACCCACATCGCGTTAGCACACTTTAAATTACCCGCCTAAAGAGGAACGTGTGACGTCACTGTTGCCTTGCACGAAATTGCCCGGCTTTACTGCACGGCCGCCGACACTAGTAAGCACCACGGTAAAAGTATTGGGAGCTAGCAGCAACAACGGCCATTGAACAATTTTCTGCCATGGCCTCCGAGATAGCAGATGTGCTTGGTTCAACTGGGCCCTGCTAGATGGCATGACCTGTCCAGCTTAACCAGGTGAAAATAGCTTTGGACCCATTCGCACCACTCCCCATAGTAACTGCAGCAGTTTTTTTTTTTTTCATAAATGAAACAAAATGGGACAAGGAGCATTTTATTATGTCTCTTGATACACGGAAGGTTCTTCTTTATTAGAGCTAGTCTATTTACTAGTGATTAATTGTAGTCAGGTGCTCTGACGTCATTGAGAACATTGAAGGATAGTCTTGCAATAAATTTAGTATTAAGAATAAACCCTTATAACAAATTTTTGTATATAACAAACTTCATATTGTGTAAGATACAACTTCGTTACAGTGAAGTGAGAGTATACCGAGATACGACTTCACAAAATAAAATATACATCTTGGTAGACCGCATGCTTTAGCAGCTGCAGACATTCATGATAACGATCATTCCCAGCCTATTTTGAGTCCAACACAGGACGAATACTTTTCCTAATTATCTCCAATTTACCCTATCTTGCACAAACCGATTACCCTTTGTGTCAGCGAACTTCTTAATTTTGCCTCTCCATCTAACTTGCTGCCTTTCTTGACGTCTTCTCCCATCCTTCAGTATCCAATCTCTTGTTCTAACCCACCACCGGTTGTCTGCCATGAGTATGAGTTGGTTGGGCCAGGAGCGCTTGTTTCTCTAGATGTCAACAAAAATAGTCACTACCCTGCTCATTCGCTGAGCCATTCTGCTGTATTATGATCTCTGAATATTACATTTCTCGTTTTCCATTCCATTGGAGGTTGGGTGGACCTTAACTTTTTCTTGTGTTTCTTCGTTATATATCAAGTTACAGTTGCTCATTTACAGTGTAAAAATAAATATTGTGTGCCAATAGCATGACACGATTATGAGGCGAGGCACGACATGAAACAGGTGATTAATTCTGTTCCAATAGCTAATTCTGACTACCTGGTGTTTCATAAAGTGCACATTGTCCTGTACACGTATCCCGAAGGAGTATGGCCACTACCGTGGGTCTGGTCTTAGCTAGTTGCAGGGCATGCGAGAACCGTCGCCGTGGCGAGAACACGGTACTGCTCAAAGTCGCAACACTTTATTGTCTGCGGCAACACCAAAACACAGCACAGAGCCCGTTGCAAAGGCGCAGCTGGAAAGCAAACAGGTTTATCCACGCCACGGGCAAGAAGTACTACACAGGGGTGCCGCGAGCACGTCTTCACGGCAAAAGTGATTCACGGAGACACCGGGACAAAGGCCTGGATGCTCGAGCGAGAGCAAAGGCGCTCGCTAAGCAAAGGCTTTGGAGATATGCGGGTTGGCGTAGGCTGGCCACGCACTAGGACACCGCACCGCTTTTCGGCATACCATTCGCAAAGGGGCAACAAAAGGTGAGCTTCCGACGCGGGCGCGAGGCGCTGTTGGCGAAGTTTGACGAGTCCCAAACAATAGGGGTCGACGGGCGGAAAAGAAATAAATGCTCACCCTGAGTCGTCCCTGAGAGATCTGACTCACTCCCGACGAGCGCGAGCGCGAAACGTCCCGGGAGACCCTGCGTGCTGCGCACTGTCGACATCCGCTACCGATCGAAAGGGGTTAAACGTCACTCCTTGCTACGCCATCGCGGCATACAGTAGAGGAGGGGAGTCATGTTGGGACATGAGAACGGAGAAAGAGGCGGCAAAGCCCTCGTCGCGATTCCCACAACATAAATTTAAATACACATGTTTGCCCCCATATAAAAGTGTTTGCCATGACTGGGAATGAAACTCATACCAATGTGTTTAGGAGCCATAGCCACAGCCACAAAGCCCCCGCGGCAGGGTCAATCACGGTAGAGAAATCAATAGATAAGAAATAAGGAATCCTTATTCCATCGGCATTTAGATGACTGCAATTCAAAAGTTCCCTCACAGTCATTTTTATAGAAAAAGCTATGACTAAGACGCGTGGTTGATCAAAGAGCTACTTGCGAAATGAGTTGCCCCAACACATCAAAATATGAAAAATAACGGCTACGTAATGCACATCCTTATGTTTTTATCGTCTTAAGTTTGCCATAGCCTAATTTCAACTCAAACACTTACGCTAGAGCATTATTACCTTCAGTGGCCAGAGTCATAGCAGCCCAACGAGGTTACTGGCCTCAAAACATGACAAGTCAGGGCTTAAGTTATGTGACGCTTACATTATTGCCATATTACCTTCAGTGGCAAAACTCATAGCGACCCTACGAGGCTATTTCTAGCCATTGCGCATACCATTTATTATACTACGTTTTAATGCCCTGTTCCAATGCATGAGCTCTCTACAATCTCAAAAAATTCCTTAGCTAGTTGTTTGGCAAACCTTTTTTAGTTCCTGGAGCTCGCGTTCGAACTGCTTGGCTCGTCTCCTTTCCAGCGCCCTGGCTTTCAGTATCCGGTTGTCGGTCTCCCGCGTCGTCTCCTGAAGTGTCTTCTGCGACTCCTCCAGGGCTGTCGTCTTTTCTTGCAGCTCCTTGGTGAGAGAATCAATCTTGGCTGCGGGCAAGAACACAATCACCATCATCATCATCAACCTTTTTTTTCCTTACCGGTATCCAAAAGAGACGCGCATCGTTAAGGAAGGATTCAAGAGAGAACATAGAAGTAATTCACAGAACAAGGAAGGATTATTCTGTCTTTAATCCTTTCTTGATGGTACTACACCTTTTTGTTTCTTTTTTTGTATGTCAGTGAGCATGCACCAACTAATCCAAGAACAAGTTTTACTACATTACCATTTCTCCTCTGTCTATTGCAGGACAAAAGCCTCCCCCAAAGATTCCGCTTTGCCCTATTCTGCGCAAGTTGATTATATTCTATTCATGTGAACTTCTTAATTTTGTCGATCCATTTAAACCACTAATGTCCTCAGCTGTAACGGATCACCAGATTTCTCACCCACACAATACATGGCTGGCTCTGGCCCGTTTTCCTTATTTGATATCGACTGCAATATCAGCGACACTGTGAATGCTCAGGTGAAAATCACGAGCAAATTATATGAACTAACTGTGATTCTAGAGTGAATCAAGTTAGTTGTGTGTAAATCAAGAATGAATCATGCGACTAAGAATGTACACACAAATGACTTAAAGGGGTCGTGAAACGGTCGCTTTACAGCGACAATGCGACACCATCGGCAGCCACATGTGCTAACTGTATCATCAGCCCGAGTGAGCCTGCATAGGCGCATTGCCTATCGAGGAACGCGGAACTATATAATGGCATATCGAGCACGCGGAAGAGGCGCTCATGAGCGTCTGCCATACGCGATCCGCGTCCCATAAAAACGCTGCTTAATAGGACGTCAGCGTTCAAGGTAGTGCCTATTGCGTATGGCAAAGACGCTGATGGGTGTCCCGGTTGCACGCACTCGCAAGTACCAAAGAGTTCCGTGTTCCTCAATAGGCAAAGCATTACTTATGATGACGTCACCTAGTTAGTAAGTGTGGACACCGGTGGCTTCGCATTGTCGCTTTGGAGCGAGCGTTTCACGACCCCTTTAACCGTGATTCAAGCATGAATCTTGAGACTCAAGTGCAAATCAAGGATGAATTCCGAGACTCAAGTGTGGATCAAGAAGTAATCGAAGGACTCAAGAGTTAGTTTTAATTATGAGACTCAAATGTTCGTAAAGATTGAATCATGAGACTGAATTTGCGTCCTTACACATCAAAACATGACAAGTCGGGGCTTTAGTTATGTTAAACTTACATTAAAGGCTGAAGTGATAATCAAGAATGAGTAAAACGACTCAGCTGAGAATCAAGAGTTAAAATGAGACTGAAGGGTAAATCAAGGTTTGATCTAGATACAAATACAAATGAAGAGTGCATCACGTGATGCCCAAGTGCGGCAAAATAATCACAAGTGGAAATACCTTATAAAAATTTATCGTTGCACTACATGCAAGTACATATGCCAATAACTTAATCTCACGTTTTTAAATGTCTAATAGATCAGTGCATTTTTTCCTTGCTTCTAGATGTAGAAAAATGATGCTGATGCAAGTTGCTGAACCTCAACATAATGCAAAAATACGAGTTGGCCTAACAATACTTCTTTACATTGTGAACCTAACTGCCCTGAGGCTTTTATATTTGAGTCATGCTAACATTGCTAATGGCTCTTGGAACATCACACATCCACATGGCTGCCATATCCATTGCATTTTACACCACAATTTTATGTTACAGTTTATCTCAAAAAAATTTTAGACAAAATTGCCGATAGCAACGAATCTTGACTGATAACTGGAGGTAAGCAGCACCACAAAAAAGCAGCATCGCCGATACACTTATCAGCACCCTGCTTGATAAAGTATTGTAGCAACTACACTTCCTGCAAAACACTGACGGTTCGCAAACTTTTTGTGGTGGCGGTTAATAACACACTAACTTTAAAACTTGACAGCACTTGAGCTTTCTGTTATATGTAAGATCATTTTGAAGTTATGTTGAAGAAACAAGATCTGTCCAAACCAACTAAGTTTTCTTCCTGTGCTCACAGGACTGTTACAGTGAGACACCAGCACAAAGCAACTCTGTTGCATTTATGGAAGGTAGTAATAGTTGCTACAATACTTTATTAGGCTACACAGGGAGAGATTACAAGGGGGAAAGAAGCTACATCGCGTGCGTCATGACCACATGAGCATGTCGGGAACCATGATTCTTTAGCACACAACACACTGAGCCCCGCCTGGCATGTGGCAGCACCCTATGGGAAGAAGCACATCTGATCCAAACGCCTCCCTTGGTTTATAATAACTATCAGCTAATAGCAGCAATTTGTTGTGCGACAGAGACCTGTAGTGTGAAGGCCCTCTGAACAGAGTGCATAGGCATCTGTATAAGGAGAAGGCCCTTTCCACTCTGCTAGTGAATTATCCTTGCAATGTATGACCGCAAGATTTGGCTGAGCTGTTTGTAGTAGCGTCTTCTTTCCGCTGTGTTTTTTCTTTCTTTACAGGCACAAGCGGTAGTTCTGGACCAGTCTAAATGCACCGTTTAAGTTGAAACACTAGGCAGGAATTTTGTGCACAGCCCTTCGTGAAACGCCATCACAACCGCTAATCAGATTTGCAGTGAGTGAGGGATCCGTCACCCTGGAATGCAGTCGCCTGATCTGCCTTTGCTTTCTCGACGGACTCCTGTAGCCGGACTACTTTTCTCCTGGAGTTCGGCATTGTGCGCCTGCCAACTGAAACCTCGTCGACTCTAGCTTCCGGAAGCCTTCCTCTAGGTCCACCACTCGGCTCTTGTTGGAGCTGAGGTCAGCGTTGAGGGATGCCTCGCGCTGCTTCCACGACATCTCCTGTAAAGATGTAGAGGTAGATTTATACTGTGTGGAATAAAAAAGCACGTTCTTCTACAGGGGACAGAAAGACAGCCAATATGCGGATGACATAAGAATGAGCAGCGCAGCAGTTCGAGTTAGTAAGTATAGCTTCATCTTCAAACAGTGCAGCCACATGAAGAGCAACAGATAACACTTGCGTCGTTAGTACTTCTCTGTCTCTTCGTGTACTTGCACTGCTTGAAGATATGGATGAAATCAACATCAACATATGCTCATTACATAGGCACAAAGCAGCTGGGCATACCGTACAAAAGCCACATATCACATCGTCTCAAGAGGCATTGAGCGGTAAAAAAAAACATCAAAAATTTCAAACACATTATCTTTAATTCACAAAAAACAAAGATGTTGCTTGTGCATGACAGCTCATTCTTTCTGATACGGTGTCTTTCCATTATCTCTTTTGCAAGCGTATCACCACTCTTGCACAAAATGGAGCTGAAACCTCTGCCTTGTGTGAAGTACACTTTTTTTGTTTATTTCTAAAAGGAATAAGCCAACTAACTTTTTGCAGCACATTTTGGAAAGGATATTTCAGATACTGGCACAGTTCGTACCGAACGCTTACAGGACTGAGATAAAAAGACAACAAATCCAAGACTCACTACTATACAGAAAATTATAACTCTGTAAAGTGTCTTGGTGGTTTCTGTGGCCTTGTCCAATGTTTGTAACAATTACAGAAATTAAGATGTGATTCTGGCACTCAGTTACGTGCATGAACAATCCCGCAACGTTTCCCATATTACGCTTTGTCGATCGACATGGGTCTTAGGATTAAAACATAATTAAAAATCGATTTTCGGGTATCAGCAATACCTACCTATTACTCTCCTCATCTGCTAAGTTTGCTGTCTCTGAGGTTGATATTTCAGCGGTAACATCAATTTTAAAACATATAGGACACCTGCTTTTTGCCCCTGTTGATGTTAAAACAATGTTTTCAATGATGCCCCAACTGTATTTCACTGCTTCGACGGTCTGCTATTAGTAACCAAACAATGTTCTGCGAGTGTGCACATGTGTACACATTTTCACTTCTCCACAATGAAATGTCATATTTGTTTGTTTTGTTGATTTTCTCAAAATACTCATTTCGCACACCCAGCAAAACTTATTTGCTGCGTTTTATCAGTGGCTATCACGGATATAACGGTAATTCCTTTTTGCAGCATGAAACTGAGCCTTCTGAGCCCGCAACATAGCAAGCAAGCTTTAATTTTTTTACCTATAAGTTCTACAATTTCGCTTTTTGCTTGATCACTGCATGGTTATGTTTAAAACAATGGAGCTTAATGTACTGTAAAGTAAGAAATAATGACAATTACAGACATGCCTCCTTTGCTGTGAGCCTTATGCCTTCTGCTGTTCATGCATATGTCACTTGCACATTTTCGGGAGCGGTCGTTTGTCTATTTTAGTATGATATAGATAAGAGATAGCACTGCTTCTCAATTACATATTGAAATAATGAACCTACAGAAAAAATAACTGCACCATTAGAATGAAGTGAAGAGTCATATATATAAGCATCCAACTTTCATCAACTAAGAGTACTACGCGGTAGAAAACTTCAATTCAACTGCGCTTGTCCTTGTCTTTTTCCCGTCCGTGTTTTCTACCGCGTAGTACTCTAAGATCATGTATCACCAACTGGCCCAATCGTTTCACCAACTGGCCCAACTGGCCCAATCGATTAACTTTAATCAAATTTGGTTCAAAAACAACCTAGGCGAGCTTGAAAACCCATGTACCCACTTAAAGAATTAAACACGAATCAAAGAATGAACATAAAATTAATTTTGTTTCTGTGTTTTCTGTATTTTAATTATTTAATTGCAATGAATAAGAGAATCAAGGTGCAAATGAAAGCAACAATAAATTGTGAACAACACACCTATGACTTCACATAAGTGTATTGTTTGACAGCACCATAATAAATCACACATATGCCACATACGTTATACGCACGATGTCGCATTTGCTCAAACTTAAAGGTGTTCAAAACTCTGCGATGATGCAACCGGCAACACTTGAAACACTAGAACATAGCGCACATGAGGTAACCTGCTATTACCTGCAAAATAATGTGCGTTTGCTGGTCTGGCTGTCACCCAATCCTTGCCCTGCTTCTCCCCTCCCCATACCACCTTCACTGCTGCGCATTTACCAGGCTGGCTAGACAACATGAAGACTACTGCACACTCCACCCTACCCTCCAATATCCAAACACTCGCCTACACCACCACCATGGATCACTCAGCTCTAATTGAACTCCATGTGATGTGCATTCAATGTTGCATTGGTATTGACTGAAGTTAATGTATCCCAGAAATAACATAACCCTTTTTAAGACTAGGAAAACTCCTCACTCCTACTCACTCACACTCTCTTATGTTGCCAGAACTTAATTCTTTCAATATTCTTTTTCTCCCTAAACTATTGAAGAATATAACCTGATACCTCTTCATCATCTAGATTTCCCTGAATCAACACAGAATTACATCCTCAATGTTTCCTAATCATTTTTGATTTAGAGTTGCTTGTTTGCCTGATTTCGTTCAACATTTTCAATTGTTCATTGACATTGCTTAAAATGTACTTGTGGGCTAGTTGGTCGGTCATATTTACGATAAATGGCAGCGCACTACACGAAAAAGTGCCAATGTGTCGTTTGCATCAACCTTTTTGTGTTTCGTGTTTGTGTCTTAGCCTGGTGCGTGCTGCCGTTTATTGTGCGTAGTACGTTTATTTATTTTTTACCTTGCCGCTCCTGTTTGGGCCACATGGCCTGCAGTATCTTGTGAATAAAATAAACAAATAAAAATAAATAGGGTGGTTCCTTGTTGCTAGTAGAGCTGTGTGTGCGTTATTTTTGCACCTTTTTTGACGTTATGTCAAATCCAGTTCATGCCGGAACCAGTTGCTTCTAATGATCTACCAAAGAGCCCACCTTGCAAGTCTCGTTGACTATACACTCAAACCTCATTATAACAAAGTTGTATCTTACACGAAAACAAGTTTGTTACAGTTAAACTTGCTTATAACAAACCTACATATAAAGAATTCCTATATATAACAAAGTTTTTCTCTTCCCCGCCATTGCTCCATAGAAGCACATGTATTTGCGACTCCTAGGTAACAAAGTAACAGCGGGAGACAACCTTGATAAAACGAATTTCTCCCACGGACAATCTGAGACTTTTGTGCCGCATTTTGGCATTTTGGTGCGAGCATGCATCTTCCGCGGCTGCCCCGCCGCCGCTGACAAAGCGCGAAGCAGTGGCGGCGCGCACGGCGCACCAGGCGAGAGCGAGCACTCGTTATTGTGTGGGGGTGAGAGCCAAGCGGGCATGCGGGCCTGCACCCCACGAGCCGGCGTTGCTGCCATGAACGCATGCACGGGCAAGCCCCCCCCTCCGAACCAAAATTAAAAAAAGAAACTTACTTTTGCACGTTGGTAATGCCACGCTTTTAGTTAGCATCCCATATGTGGGGCCACGCTGCATATGGAGGATGCTTCACCGAATCAATAGTTTTTTGTGGTATCCGTGCCGTTCACTCTTTGTGTTCAACACTGTGCGTGCATAGTTTCACTGCGCGCACAACGTGTGCCCCCTCCCCCCCCCCCCCCCCCCCCCCGACAATATTCAGCTTTGCTTTTTTTCTTTATTGCGATAGCAATTATATGGACAGTCTCGGCTGGTTTTTTGCTGCCATCGCCGTCGTCATGCACCGTATATGTACACGTATCTACATATCTAAAAACTCAAGAAAGAAAAAAAAAAAGCCACCTGTGGTCAGCGCCCAGCTCGTCACCATGCACCATCGTGCGCTTATCTCCCACGCGCACTTTGCCCCACGAATGGGGGGGGGTGATAAATAGATGCTTGTGTGCGCGCGCATATCCTTCAGTGGAAAGAGTCGCGCACCTTCGACTTTGACCGGAACGATTGCATTCAGTTTCCGGGTGCACAAGGACTACTTTGCTCGCTGGACAGGCTTCATTTGCGAAAAAAGTGCACTTTTCAAACGCAGCGATGTAACAACTAGAGCACTAGTGAGTTTGCATTCATATCTGTACCTGTGATTACGTTTTGTGCCTCATTTTTGTTTAAACAGCGCGTCAAGTGTTGATAGGTAAACTTTGTTAGTTCGCTCTCGTCCTGTGTATGTTTTCTACGTGCGTCATTTGTGCGTGAGCAGTGCGCTGAACATGTCGATGTGCTTGCCGTTTTCAGAGTTACATTCTAAGTTGTCGCTATCGCATTTATTGTTTCGCTCTTGCGGTGAAACTATGACTTTTCTTAATTTCGGACAACCGGGTCGTCACCAGATTAGGTGCTGATGAAAACTCCCCGAGACCACGGTGACGACCGATCTTCGGAGGTCGACTCGTGATGCGCTTCCGTTTTGCGCCACGCTTGGAGTTCGCAGACTGGTAGCTTTCGCAACTAGCCTATTAGTTCTGGCAACATGACGGCACATTGAATGCAATGCAATGAATGCGATAGCAAACAATTGTAATGTTATAAATAGTAAGACTGGCAGCCAACTCTTTTGGATCCGATATCGCGGAACTCCTACAAAACGCTGGTGTGAGCAAGTACGGCCACTCCAGGGAGAAGTGCTCTTTTTACACAGTCCCTTCACGTTGAAACCACACTGATACTCGCCGAAATAGCAAGCGCACTAGCAATCGTAACAGCGCCCTTAAAATCAATGTTCACTGTTGCTACTCAAGTTATCCCCCTTCCCCCCCCCCCTGCATTTCTTCATGCTCATGCAAAACTGGTAGTTTCCTTTCTGTTTAAGCATTCGACGGCAGTTCTAACACGAAGGAGATGTCATCGTATGCACATTTCAAGATGATAAGAATGGGCTGACTGATTTGATCTCTGTTTCAGCAGCACTCGCGCACTTTTACCCGTACGTGAAAGTTACGATGCGATGCGTGGGGCATGTTATAAATTAGGACTTGTTACGGAACATGGCGGTTATGGCAGAAACTTGCTGAGAGTGTCTATACAATTGTTATCATAATAACAACGCAGTTTTTTACTGTAAAATAAGAATTGTGGGTTAGCTCCGGCTTTTGTCCCCCTTTTGTTTAATTTTTGTGTTTATTTTCTTAATTTTTGTACCTAACCTGCATATAACAAAATCCTCATTATAACAGATTTTTCCGGGAATTCATCGATTTCGTTATATGCAGGCTTAACTGCCTATACAAGAATACGTTATAAAAGCACACAATCAAACCTTGATATAATGAAACAATGGTTATAACAAAGTAAATGAAGAATAGTCTAGCTATGGATATAGTGTTAGGAATAAGCTTTTATAATAAATATTCGTATGCAACGAGTTTATTTTTGTGCAAGATGTAACTTTGCTATTATGAGTTTTGTGTGTATTCCTAGCACTATATCTACGGGAGCACTTTTTTGTTTACTTCGGTGCAAGCGATATTTGATTATATCCGGGTTCGTCATATCAAGGTATGAGTGTAGCTACACATGCACACACACCTCTGTCAGTGCACACAAAGATGGCGCAGGCAGTGCCAGTGTGAAAACGTGTGACAAAGCCTACACAAGCAACTGCCACTAATGACGTCATCAGGTGCAGTATTTAAAAAGGCTCTCTTCAGTCTGACATTCCATTTCACTCAAACGAATTTCCAGTCCACCTAGAGCTTCAATTGATGAGGTTTCACCGCACAACCTAACCAAACTTTACAGAGACTAAATGAACAGTGCTAAACAGAGAGAAACAAAAAAAAATCGTAGGAGCCTCTTGAAGTACGTTCAAGGCAGAATAACAAGTTGTAAACGGAAAAGCAGTTTATGGGACGGGCCTCAATACAGTAGAGGAACAACGAAGCATGCAACACTGACTTCAGCACTGCAGAACGGCAACAACATAAAGACAACAAAAAAGAATGGTCAACAATGAGCTCGCGCAAGCAAATCTAGCAGATGATAACACCAAGAAATCTGGGAGGCTCGCTCCCAAAAGCAGGCCAAAGCAAAGCATATGCTGCCCGATTGAGGAGAGGGGAAAGAGAAAAAAGCAAGAAATGTGCGCATGAGGAGTGAACTGTCCCTTGATGTGCAGCCAAAATAGTACAGAGTAACATGCAGCGGGTTATTCAAATAAGGTAGAAGTTCAGGGAAAGATAGAATTTTGAAGCAAAAAATCAAGGGGTATCACTGGAGCCAGTATTTTGACAAGCCGTCCTCTCTTTAACAAGCGGTCTTGACTTCAAGGCAGCAACAAGACAGACAAGTGGTCTTTTCGTTGTCCTGAACGACGCAAAACCGCTTGCCAAAAGTCAACAAGCGGTCTTGCTGCCACCTCAAAAACACAAGACTACTAGTCTAAACGTCAACAAGCTGTCTTCTTGCCGCCTTGAAGAAGACAAGACCACTTGTCAAAATTTCAACAAGAGGTCTTTCAGCTGCCTAGAGGAAGACAAGAGGCTTCTTGAAATGCCAACAAGCGGTCTTGCTGCCACCTCAAAAACACAAGACTACTCGTCAAAATGTCAACAAGCAGTCTTGTTGCCGCCTTGAAAAAGACAAGACCACTTTTCAAAATGTCAGCAAGAGGTCTTGTAGCTGCCTAAAGGAAGACAATACGCTTACTGAAACGTCCACAAGCGGTCTTGTCTTCGAGGCAGCGATCGACAAGGGGTCCTGTTGCTGCCTTACTGTTCGTTAAAATGTTGGCTTCAGTGGCACCCCATGTTTTATGGTTTAAGTATGTTTCATCAATGCAGAGGGTTTGAGTGGTGTGCATGGCAAAGCAGGTTGAAGTGCTAGCAGTGCTCTTGCCGGGCATTCCGTTTACCTGTTCCAAGAAATTTTGCTGCATTAGCCGCATCTCGGCTCGCGTGTCGTCAAGGTCGTCGACAGCAGTCTTGCTTCGAAGACTGAGGTCTTCCGTCATGAGCTGGAGGGTGGTCACAGATTGCACATTGAGAAAAGTTGGATTGCGGTTTAAATATGAGACAACATGCATAGTTTTAAACATGTGTAACACAGACATGCTGCATTGTGATCAGGGTGATACGGATTGATACGCATCAAGCCCACTTGAGATAGGGCCTGATTCAGATAGGACTTGATTTGGGTTGGGCTTGATCTGGGCGAGGCATTGCTAAACAGTCACCTTTAAACATGATCAGGACTGACTGAGATCAAAAGGACTGCGATATGTCTGTTGAGATCTAGCTCCACATTGTAATTTCACTTACATCAAGGCAAAACTGAGTATGAATTAGTTTGCATCATGTATCAGTTACCATTGTAAATTGTGATCAAGAAATTGCAGCCCAGAGCAGTCCTGATGACAATCAAATGTGTCCACATGACTCTGGTATCACATTGGCAGCATGGTAGCACTTGCATCTCAGAGAACAAAAATGGCAACACCTTAAACAGTCAGACTAGACTGTGATCTCTATATGATGGAACTGGTTTGGAATTCAAGTTATGGTTGTCAAATGGCAGTGCAGTCGTGGGAATGTGAAGGCTGGAAATTCAAAACACTTCTGGCAATAACGAACATATAAGAAAGCATGATGCAGCCATCATAGATATGCGGGCGTAACACCAGCTACCAACACAATGTGTTGGCGAACCGACTGGCGTGAATGCAGCTACCAACATGTACACAGAACACATGCCGGTAAGATGCAGGCATTCGATTAAGTAATATTTCAAATTTTCACTGCAACATAGATAACAGCTGATGGGATGAAATTCATACCTGGATTGCCTTGCTGCGCGCTTGCAGAACCTGGTCCTTCTCGCGGAGGTTCTCCTGCAGGTCCAGGATCCGACGCTCAAGCTCCAAGATCTGGTTGTTCAGCTCGAGGATCTTGGAGTCCTTATAAACCATCTGTGCATACAGGCGCTCCTCTTCCTTACTGGTGCTGCCAGTGTTGCTGCCACCACCATCCTGCCTTTGGCCAGGAGACTGCAACATAGGCAAGTCACCTCTGTCATCAGCTAGTCTACCAGAACCTTAGAGTCGTGGCCATAGGCTAGTTTAGGGCCAATCAGAAGCACATAAAAAAGTCGTATCCTGAGCCTATCTTTATTTCACAGATTTGTTTATTGCACTCTCATTCTCACACAATATATTTCCCCACCACCATAAATATCACATAGCAGAAGTGGTTCTTTCATACCAGTTTCACATAGGCACTTTCGATAATGAACGCTGCAACAATAAATCATCCATTATTAGTCTAAACTGATATAGTATCTCATATCAGACCGTCCCTTTATGGCTGCTCTCCCAAAGAAGCAGCTCACCTGTTTAGGTGCCTGGCCACCAGATGCCTCCGCACTGTCCATTAGGAGCTGGTCACGTTGAAGCAGTTGCTGCTCCAGCCGCTCGACAGTGGATTCATATGATCGCTGCAACGCCTGCATCTCTTGCTCCTTCTTGTGAAGCTGAGACTTGGCCTCGTCCAGCTGATGCTTGAGGACACGGACGCGCCCCCTCGATGCCTCTGCAGATGCTTCGTGGTGTGGAGTTGTGGCCTTGGACACATCTTCGCCTTGGTCCTACAGGAGTGACAGAATCCGTAAATATAGAACCCGTTCGGGACCAAATTGGTCCGAAAACATCGAGTCTACCCGAGTAAGCATACCACGCCTGCACAGAACATGCAACATCGTCATAACGGTAAGCTGAAGGAGTAGACTTTCTAGAGCTGCTCATAAAATCTATCTCTCGGGGCATCTATTGCAAGTAGTTGTTATACCGGTATGTCCTCTGTGCATGGCACGTAACCAGTGCAAAATATTGGCTGAGTAGTGGATGAATTTTTCCATCATTTCCTGTATCGTATCATTTTTAGATGTTATAGTAAATTAATATATTGATTCAAAGTGCCACTTATGAGAAATGAAATATTTATAGCCAGCAAGACTTTGCTAGATATTCCTTTCATTTCAATGATGAATTCCTCAGTGGCAAAGAAAATACCTCGGCGGCTGTATGTATCCCAGTGCAGTGGAGCAGTTGTGAGGTATCCGCTACGCCATAATCATGACTTTGCGAAGTAAAAAGTACCCACTAGGCTATAATTTATCGTTCTGCAAAGTACAGGCAATGTACCAACACAGCATATGTAAAGAAACATGCACACTTTGTAGATGCTGTAGCTGATAATCATAAATTGAGGCTCAGCCTTTCACAACAAATGGGAAGCTTTAAACCACTCACTCGCCATGCAATTCACACTGCATGAAGCCTGATATTATTTTGTTACTTTTCTACCGTACAACCATATTACATCTGTTAATATGATTTCTTGTGCCTGTAAAGATGTTTTTCCCAAAGAAGTTTGAAGCACAGCCATGGCACTGTGCCAGAGCATTTGCTTGCTATGCAGAAGGCCTTAGTTTGAATTCACTTTGAACCCCCCCCCCCCCCCTTTTTTTTTTCTTCTCAGTATGCAAGATAGCTGCGGCAGACCACTATGCCACCAGAATTATCTGTTTCTGTGAACTCACAACCGCGTACGCTGTGAAACCTCGGCTGAAACCCCCTTGGCATATAGAAGAGCAAGGGTAATGGCGCGCACTCTTACCTCTTCGAGTGATGCCTCTTGCTGGGCTTTCGCTTGGTTTGTAAGCTGAGCAATCTTCGCTCTCGATTGAAGCTTTAGCTTCTGATACTTGGCCGCACTGTCCTGTGAGAGAGTGTGTGGAAAAAAGTAGGAAATGGTAGATTAAGAGGACGTGAAGAAAACAAAATGTCGCAGTTTTGTCACAAGAATGAAGCAATAAATGCAATAGCAAGAAACTGAAATGTTGCGCGAAGAACGGCAAACAGCTTGACACTTGCAGCACAAAGCTAAAACACAGACACTAAAAAAAGAACATGCAGGTATACACAAGACAAGCATGAGCTAACAACTGTCACAGTTGCTACGCTTTCATGTTTGAGGAATGTGCTGCAAGTGTCGACAATGCAGAATTTAGAAATTCCTTTTAGGGGTGAAGCTCCTTAAGGCATGGGCTGTGCGTCCCCTGTATGTAGCCACCTCTCGTTGAGTTCTTGCAGTGTTCACTAGATGGCGGTACCGTCCCCTGTATGTAGTCACCTCTCGTTTAGTTCTTGCAGTGTTCACTAGACGGCGGTACTTGTAGCTGATGATGAAAAGATGCAAGATGTTATAAACTAGACAACTGCACTGCCTTTTTCATGTGTTTTTCCAGGGTAGTTTTGAAATTTAAAGAAAATGTATGAGCATTACATAAAAGAAAACATGCTCAAGCTCCTCAGAGACCTGCATACAACGAGTGATAGATAGTGAACATGAATAGCTTGCCGTTATTACGCAGCGCATGCATATTGTTGAGTACAGCCCACTGTGCAGTAAGGAGTCAATGGTTGGAATGCCCAATCAGGCACTTCGAAATTTTTTGGTACGATTTATTTTTTCTTCGTGTCTTTTTTATATGTATACATACATATGTATACATACCGAAAGCTTAACAACGTGACCAAAAAGGATGTGTACCCGCTACCACGTATCGACGATTCGCTCGATAGACTTCGTCGTGCCCATTATTTCACTTCTCTCGATCTCAAGAGCGGGTACTGGCAAATCGAGGTAGATCAGCGAGACCGCGAAAAGACAGCCTTCGTGACTCCAGACGGCCTATACCAATTTCGAGTACTTCCTTTCGGCTTGTGTTCAGCGCCGGCAACTTTCCAGCGAATAATGGACACTGTCCTCACAGGGCTGAAGTGGCAGACTTGTCTTGTCTACCTTGATGATGTGGTGGTCTTCTCTACCACGTTCGAGCAGCACCTTCACCGCCTGCGCAGCGTGCTGGAGGCTATCCGATCGGCGGACCTCACACTAAAACCACAGAAGTGCCACTTCGGCTATAAAGAACTAAAATTTCTTGGACATGTAGTTAGCGCCGAAGGAATTCGTCCCGATCCGGACAAGCTTGCTGCTGTTGCCAAATTACCAGCTCCTGTCGATAAGAAAGCCGTCTGGCGCTTCCTTGGTTTGTGCGCCTACTATCGCCGATTCATTCATGGCTTTTCACAAATAGCAGAACCTCTGACTCGTCTCACAAGGGACGACACGCCGTTTGTCTGGGAAAACGAGCAACAAGCAGCTTTTGATGCACTGCGACAGCACATGCAATCAGCGCCCGTTCTCGCTCATTTCGACGATGATGCTGACACGGAGGTCCATACCGACGCTAGTAACATTGGGCTCGGTGCAGTGCTCGTTCAGCGTCAAGAGGACATCGAAAGAGTGATAGCCTACGCCAGCCGCTCTCTATCTTGTGCCGAGGCGAATTATTCCACTATGTATAAAGAGTGCCTCGCAGTCGTGTGGGCAATCACCAAGTTCCGCCCGTACCTTTATGGTCGTCCCTTCAAGATAGTGACGGACCACCACGCCCTCTGCTGGTTGGCAAGCCTGCCCGACCCTTCAGGACGGCTAGCACGGTGGAGCTTGCGGCTGCAGGAATTTGACGTCACCATCGTCCATAAGTCCGGCCGTAAGCATGAAGACGCTGGCACACTGTCACGCGCACCCCTTCTTGTTGTCAGTCAGGATGCAGAGGAAGACGAAGGCTTTCTGGGCGCCATTAGCTCATCAGACTTGAGTAAACGGCAGCGGGATGACGCAGAGATTCGTCCGATCATTGATCATTTAGAGGGCCAGGACACAATCATACCACGTCATCTATTCCGCTCGTTGCCATCGTTCTGCCTTCGAGATGGTGTGCTGTACAAGAAGAACGCTCGTTCGAACAACCGTGCCTACCTCCTGGTGGTTCCTCGAGACATGCGAGACGACGTCCTCTTCGCTTGTCATGACGAACCCACATCCGGTCATCTGGGCTACTCACGGACACTTGCCAGAGTGAGTGAGAGGTACTATTGGCCAGGACTTTCGGCAAGCGTCAAGAAGTACGTCAAGAGCTGTCGGGTATGTCAGCGCCGAAAGCAACCATCTGTTAAGCCAGCTGGTTTGCTTCAGCCCATTGAAGCACCTTGCACGCCATTCGACCAAGTCGGCATGGACATTCTCGGGCCATTTCCCCTGTCTGCGGACAGCAACAAATGGGTGATCGTCGCGACCGACTATTTGACACGCTACGCTGAAACCCAAGCGATCCCACGAGCCACGGCTTCTGAGGTAGCACAATTTTTCATGCGCCACATCGTGTTACGACACGATGCTCCTTCCAGTGTAATAACGGACAGAGGGACGGCATTCACGGCGCAGCTTACGGACGAAGTTTTCAAACTGAGCAACACCAGACATCGAAGGACAACTGCGTACCACCTGCAAACCAACGGACTTACCGAGCGACTGAATAAGACCCTCGCAGACATGATCTCAATGTACATCGACGTACAGCACAAAACATGGGACCGGATCTTACCTTACGGCACCTTCGCGTATAATACCGCCGTGCAAGAGACCACGCGATTCACGCCATTTCGGCTTCTCTACGGCCGCAAAGTACAGACCATGCTAGACTCCATGCTACCGTGTCAAGACGAAGACGAGTTGGCAACTGACGCCGAAGAATTCGCAGAGCGTGCTGAGGAAGCCCAGCAGCTCGCGCGACTGCACATCGGCCAGCAACAGCAGGCAGACGCACGACGCTATAATACCCGCCACAGAGAAGTGTTTTACAGCCCCGGAGATCAAGTTTGGGTGTGGACGCCCGTCCGCCGCCGTGGCCTTAGTGAAAAGTTGCTGAGCCGGTACTTTGGCCCATATAAAGTGTTACGCCGCGTCAGTGACGTGAACTACGAAGTGGTTCCGGACTCAACACCCCATGCACGGAGTAGGACACGGCTGAGGCCGGACGTCGTTCATGTGTTGCGCATGAAACCATTTATTGCGCGTTGCTCGTAACTTTTCCTTTGCTGTACAGCATCCTTTGTGTTTTTTTTTTTTGTTTATTTGTGTGAACTTGCTTTCTCGTTCATTGACGTTTCTTATTTTGGCATGCTCTTCAATCTTTACTTTCACTTTATCCGAATTTCCAATTTCTTTTTTCACGTGCCTATGTTGTAGCATCGCGGTGATGCTATGTACTTTTCTTTCCTCTTTTTGGGACTTGTTGTTTTTCTTTTCGGAAGGGGGGATAATGCCACCAGCACGTAGTGGGTCGACAGCAAGAGCGGCTCTCAATGTGGAGAAAAAAGAAGATCGCGTGTCTTCTTCTCTGCTCGAGAGCCAGCCACGACTGACGCATCGTCCTAGAGCTAGCTACCCGGTCGTTCAATAAATCCCCCAGTACTTGTGACTCATCGTGACAATATACATACTGGGACATGACAACGACGACGGCAACAAAACACTGTCGAGTGTCCATTTAATTGCTATTGCAATAAAAATAAGAGACAAAAGACAGACCTCTAGTTCTTTTTCTTTCTTCTTGAGGATCTCCTCATTGGACCTGACAATGTCCTTCAGCTGCTGGATAAGAAGGTCTTTATGGTCAGGGTCATCCATTCTGAATAGGGAGGTCACGCTGAAAAAAAAAAAAAAACATGAGAAATTATAATGTGATAAAATGGAGGTCTTGTGAATGCTTATTCAGTCTACATAATGTTAATTGTACACCACTTTCCTGCCCTGGTTATATTATGTCATGTATCCTTACCAATCTGCCTCAGTTTATGTGATTGGCCCTCCGTAGTGGTCTAGTGACTAAGGTACTCGGTTGCTGACCCGCAGGTTGTGGCATCAAATCCCGTCTGCATTATCGATGAAGGCGAAAATGCTGTAGGCCCGTGTGCTCAGATTTGGGTGCACATTAAAGAACCCCAGGTGGTCGAAAATTCGGAGCCCTCCACTACGGTGTCTTTCATAATAATATGGTGGTTTTTGGATGTTAAACTCCACATATTAATCAATCAACTTCACGTAATTATCTGTTGACTGTGTTGCTAGTACATGAACATTAACCCTGATATTACAGTTAGCTTTTTTTTCGCAATGCTATCCTAAAGTAAAAGCAGATTTCCATAAAAAAGGCATTTGACAACGGCAAGACAGTTATCTGTAGTGCTAAGTGATCAAGACTGACATTTACATGATCACTGCTTAACTGCACCCTCTAAGATAATAAGTTTGATGATAAACAATGGGCCATCAAGTCAGATACAGAAAGGAAAAGCAGGAAAATAGCTGTAAGTGGGTTCTGGTTTTTTTTTTTTTTTTTTTGGGTGGCGGGGAGGAGATATTTGAATATACGAGAATTTCAAACACTGTATCTTGAACCATTTGGGATTCGATTCAATCTTCATATCTTAGGGCTCCTATACATGACTACAAACATTTTATGAAGGTTTCAACAACTTGGCACTTTTTGAGGACTTACGCAAAACAACAAGAAAGTTAATCCTCACAGGCATAGATGTGTATATAAAACATGGGAGTTTACAAAGTGCATTGGGATGTGTCATTCATAGAGCAAGACTTTACATGCAATAACAACAGCCATTCACAATTCATGAATGATCTCTCTGTGTACACAGAACAGATTTTTAATTGTTTCAGTTGCTGCACTCATATTATTTACGGTAAAATAATGATTACGAGCATGTTGATTGATTGATTGATATGTGGAGTTTAATGTCCCAAAACCACCTTATGATTATGAGAGACGCCATAGTGGAGGGCTCCGGAAATTTAGACCACCTGGGGTTCTTTAACGTGCGCCCAAATCTGAGCACACGGGCATACAGCATTTCCGTCTCCATTATAAATGCAGTCGCCACAGCCGGGATTCGATCCCGCGACCTACGGGTTAGCAGCTGAGCACCTTAGCCACTAGACCACCGCGGCAGGGCAGGTTACGAGCATGTGATGAGTGTTTTACATTAAAATTAAAAACAGCTATTCACAGAGTATTGAGTAGGTATTCAACTGAATGAGTGACGCTATTCAATTAGTATTGAATTAAGCAACGAGAATCCTTACTATTTAGTAATCTGTCTTGTGCTAACGTTTATAAAAACCCCCCTAAGAGACTTCCAAGCTCTTAAAAAAACATTACTGGCTTTTCTTTCCTTTAGGCTTAGATTGAGAAACTTCTCATGGTGTCAAGGATTTGTTGGTGTTCCTACAACCAAGCCTTCGAATAAACTTGAGTCAGCACCTATCGTGCAGGTGTATTTACATCCGTACTGTCTATTATGTATTCTGTAGCCGTTAACGAATCAATCACTCATCTAACTGGCTTTGGCTAAAAGGGGGAGCGATAGAGAGTCCTAGAAACAACAGTAACAGTCCATATCATAATTTTTAGCGTGCACAATATACAGAATAAGAAAGAGACACAGAGAAGCGCTGTATATTGTATGCACTAAATGTTATAATATGGATACATACCAATTCGCCCAGTTTTACAACAGTGACAGAGTTTATCACAAAATGAAATGGGGAGTCCACACTTTTTCTGATTTTCTGTAGGACAAGTGACGTGTATGGAGGAGAAGTAGGCTCCTCTTATTTCTTTCATAACAATCTACGAACTTGGTTCCCATTAAACCCATATATACAGGTGAATGCAAAGATACCAAATACTAAAGCGTCAGCGCGCACACACACACACACACACACACACACACACACACACACACACACACACACACACACACACACACACACACACATATATATATATATATATATATATATATATATATATATATATATATATATATATATATATATATGGACATACAAAATAAAAATTCTATACGGATATTTACGAGGAGATTTCACAGCGTTCCATACACATCTAATATATCAGAGTGCAATTGTATACGATTTCACTATGTTGAGAATTTTATTGTGCTACGCGACATTTTATAGATGCGTTTCCGTGCCGCGGGGGATACGATTGCAGCAAAACGTACGAAAAATTATGTTCCGATTTCATGCAACCTCGTGAATCGTGGTACGTACATGTTCCCTATTTTTTTTTTTTTTTCGGATCACATTCGGCGCAAGTGTCTGAAATGCCCCCGAAGCTCGGAGATATTTACGAACGTCAGTCGAGTATGTCTCACTGAACATTAACAATAACAAACGCTCAATCCACGCGAATTGCTGCAACATCCGCCACAACAATGCTACAAAAATGCGGATAAAGAACGCTGCGGTCGGCTCACAAACGATCATCTATCGTGGCGCTTTTTCCGGTTTAAATGAAACCTCGATCAGGGATCGGGCACAAACACGAGAACTATGGGTTCGTAGGCTAGCCGTTAGTTCGGCTGCCGAAATTCGACGCTGTGCGTGCCACTGCCACGTCAGTTTAAGGACCCGTGCACCACTACAGGAGCTACGCATCCGCTAAGTGATAACGGGGTCATTGTCGCCGTCTCGGGCAAAGTGCAAACAACCAAATAAATAAGGGCGTACCTGCTGATTTCAAGCCGCCGCAGAACATCTGTTGGCGCGTCCTAGGACCGCTCCCTTCTTGTTTTCGGTTAACACGTTCAGCCTCCTTCGCACATGATGTCACCGTGATTTAACGGTAGCGTTCAGCGTCTAGCTTTCCGATCCACTTGAAAAACGGCGAAAGGATTCACTTTATTCGCGAACGCGCGCGGTAGAGAAAAACTGGCTACGTGGTCTTCTTTCGCTTTTAGGGGTCGTCTACATGGGCGGCGCCATACTTATTTTGCTCACGTGACCTTTCAACATGGCGCTGCTTCAGAAAACGAAACCGAAAAGACGTGACCGTGACCATAAACCATGACTATTCTAGTTCACTATAACCCTGACTAAGGTACAGGATGGACAAATATAATCGGCTCTAGAAAAAGCACTTTCCACAAAAAGTTTTAATAATAATTGTTATGGTTATTTTTACCTTCGTTGAAAATGTGGTCCCCCGGCTGGAATGGTCGGCGGGATGTCCCAAACATTTGCATGCCTTTTCTGGAGGAACTGTACAGTTACCCCGAAAAGGGTAATTTGCTGCTCCATAAGACGAAATGTGCGCAAAAGATAGTACACGTCATGGCAAGGAGGGGTTGTCAGTTCGAATCCCGTGTGTTTTTTGTAAATTTTTCCGAAATTTATTTCTGAATGTGATGCTTACGCATCGATTGTACATCTAAGCAAATGCTAACACGCACTTCGAAAGGCTGGTTAAATCATAAAGTTTCATGCAGATTTAGGTGAAGTCTAATGGTTTATACATATTTATTTGGAAATGTAAACCTTCTTACTTATACTGCTCCAAATTTTGTATTTTATGATAAAAAATGTGTAATTTCCCCCCGTAAACTGCTCCAAATTTAGATTTTAGTGCTCAAAAAATGATTGTATGAAACTTTACGGGTTAAACAAACCAATACATGATTTTTTTTTCTCGCCAACTGTTGCTTCTTTTAGGAGTATAACCGCGAGAGCGTAATTATACACCTTCGCAATTACTCTCAAAATGGTGTAAGCAATTATTCCTAAATTGGTGTAAGAGGTGTGGTGAGTTAATTTACTCCTCTAAAAGAGGAACCTCGGTACCCCCTTTTCTCCTGTGCCAGTGTGTGCGCTTTGTTCGTGTAAGCAGAGTCCTATTAAGGGACTCTGGTGTAAGGTATATCTGTGTTCGCGCATGCACGTGCGTGAGCGCCTGCGCGCGTTTGTGTATGTATTCGAGCGCTAGCATGCTCGTGAGACCGCGCACGTACGTTTTGTGTGTATGTATATGCCAGCGTGTGCGTGTGTATATATTTGCATACGCGCTCGTGTATGTGCGCATGCGCCAACGTGTTTGCCTATGTGTGTATGCACACATGTGTGTTTGTGTTTGCCTGCGTGCGTTTTTGTATGTTTGTATTCACACGCATGTGTGTGCGTGTTTGTATGTGCATTAGTGTGTGTTGCGTGCTCGGGTGTTCGTATGCGCATGAACCTTGCGCTGGACATGAGAACTCGTCGTTGCGTGCTGCCTGTATTTTTAGAAAGTTGTAATGGAGTTATAGTACTTTGTTATCTAAGTACACTTCACGTTGCGAAGGCATGCACCCCCAATACACCCAAGTAAGAAAATGGCGCTTTCATGTGGTTGCACCACGGAGGAAGTAATGAAGTTTTTTTTCTTCCTACATGTTATAAAATTTTGTATACTTGCACCCTCTCCCCCCCCCTTTTTTTTACTCTTAGTGGGAAAACAAGTTTAAATAGAATAGATTCGTTTGTTACTGTATGTGTATTCATGAATCACTGTCATGTTTCAGCGCAATTTTACAAACGATCTGTTTGAGCCGAAAGTATTGGAAGCCTATTGAAAAAACTGAAGCAGGATACAGTTCCAGCTTTGTTCTCGCATCAGCCGCCGCCAAAAGAACGAAAACCCCCGGCAAAGAGGTTGATAATGCGCAAGAAATTTTCAAAAGAACGTAAGACACTCTTCAAGGACATTATTAAATATAGCATTCTTCTCCATACCACTATTCATAAGGGAGCTCTAGTAAATCGGACGATTAGATTACCTCGTGTGAATCA